AGTACTCTAAAATCCTGAAAAACATTGTTTCCACCCACCGTTCCTCGAACTTTTTATGCGCTTTCGCACTGTGCAAAGAAGATAAATGGCGCTGCACAGTGCAGAAATTGATTTTTTGGTAATAATTGTTTACAAAGAACTAAAACGGCATCTGAAAACTTTTGAGTTTTTGAAGAAACTTTCTTTACAAAATTAAAAAAAAAATCGTTTCTTTCTATGAGCTTTGGAAAAACCGCAATAACTTTCTTTACAATAGCAAAAATTGTTCAAAATTTATTTGACATACCATACAACTTATTTTTAACTAATTTTTACAAAAATGTCATACTTTTCCCCTTCCGTTTAACTACGTAGATTATTGTGTTCGAATTCCACAATATTCTGGCTTTTGGCCGCGGGCGTTAAAGTGATTAGTATTCTAATCCGACATTCACGTTTTTGTATAACCCACTGAAACACGGTTTATTTCAGTCATGAAACTTTGTTGTTACTATTGGGAGTAAAAGTCAAGTGATCTTTAGTGCTTTGTAAAGAAAATCTTTGGCATTTTTTTGTTTTGTAAAGAAAGTTCTTGCAATTTTTCGATATTTAAAGAAAGTCTTTGCCATTTTTTGCTTTGTAAAGAAAGTTCTAAAGTTTTTTTTTATGAAAAGAGGATTTTTATAAAAACAAAGACTTTAAACACAACTTGTTAAACTATTTTTTACCTATACAAGGCTTTTTACTTTGACTTTTTACTCTTTTCTCCTACGCAGCATTTTTCATTTCCAAGTTATTTTAAAACCATTTTGTGACCTTTCCTTTTGATTTTAATGAGAGAAGCTTTCATAAGTTAGCTATATATATACGTTCGACATATTTTTAAAATCATTTTTAATATTTCGCCATTTTTTGCTCTGTAAAGAAAGTTATTGCGCTTTTTCCAAAATTAAACCAAAAAATATTTTTTTTCAGTCTTGTAAAGAAAGTTCCTTCCATACCTTAAAAACGCCATTTTAGATCATTGTAAACAAAGTTATTGCCAAAAGTTTAATTTCTGCACCGTGCAGCGCCATTTGTCTTCTTTGCACAGTGCGAACGCGCGATCCCGACCGATCTGGCAAGTTAAGCAACGGTGCGCTTGATTATATAAAGTTCGAGGAACACTGGGTGGAAATAAAGTTTTAGGGGATTTTAGGAGATTGGAAAGAAAGTTTTTGCAAAGTTTTAATTTTGTGTTGATAAAAAATGGCATTTTTGAGTGTTTTTAGGTATTAAAAGCTCAAAATCAATAAAAATTTTTCTGAAAACTGTTTTTAATAATCATCAAAATACCTCTACAGTTCTTTAAGTTGTAACATTTTTAGCCGTCTTCTAACCCCGATTTTCGTCGACGCATTTTTATGTTTTTTATTTTTACTCGAAATGACTTTGAGCGCTTTGTCTTTGAATGTTTCTCTCCATTAAGCTACTCAACTATTATTTTTTACTGCCGAAAGTAAAAGTTTTTTTTTATTAAAATTTTAACGAATTTTGAATTTTTAAAAACTTTCACTATTTGGGAAAGAAAGTTCTTGTCATTTCCTGTTTTGTAAAGAAAGTTCTTGTCATTTTTTATTTTGTAAAGAAAGTTCTTGCCATTTTCAATACAATTTATAAAAAAACGTCATAATTACTTTTGCATGACACTTTTACGTATTTTTTAATTTACAATTTTCAGCAATCCGCTGTTGACATTATGTCACGAGATGTTACACTAGCTATTTTTATAGGTTTTTTATTGTAATAGTAAAAAAATTGTAAGAACTTTCTTTACAAAACAAAAAATGGCAAGAACTTTCTTTACAGACCAAACAATGGCAAGAACTTTCTTTACAAAACACAAAATGGCAAGAATTTTCTTTCCAAATCAGAAAAAGATCAAACACCTTACTTATCAGACAAAAAGCGCAAAAACTTTGTTTACAACGAATTTTTTTATCTTTTACTTTTCAAAATTTCAAAACAAACTTTTGACCTTAACCATTACAATTTAATATTACTCAAAACGTTGGCGAGCACATCACGGAACAGTCCCTAACGTTCTTCAAAAGTCTATTTTTACAAACTCGAAATTAATTTAATTCTCCTTTTTTCAAACTTTTCCGCTACTTTTCTCTCGTTTTGGTCGTTTTTGTGGGAATTTCGCTCGAAAACCGGACGTTTAGCTTCTCGATTTGCTGTTGGTATCTGTTTTGGGCTTGTAATGGCAATAACTTTCTTTACAAAACAGAAATGGCGAGGACTTTCTTCACACAACAAAAAATGGCAAAAACTTTCGTTACAAAACAATTAGCGTGCTTTTCATACCTAAAAACCTCTAAAATGCCATTTCTTTTTATCATAATACAAAAAAATGCAAAAAATTTCTTTCCACCACCATAAAACCCCAATAGCTTCGTTTACATCCATTGTTCCTCGAACTTTTTATAATCAAGCGCACCGTTGCTTAACTTGCCAGATCGGACGGGACCGCGCTTTCGCACTGTGCAAAAAAGACAAATTGCGCTGCACGGTGCAGAAATTTATTTTTTGGGGATAACTTTGTTTACAATGATAAAAAATGGCGTTTTGAAAGATTTTTGAATATTGGAAAGAACTTTCTTTACAATTTTTTAAAAATATGCTCTTCTGTTCTTATTTTCATAAAAATCGCAAAAACTTCCTTTACAAAGCTCAAAACGTCGTCATAACAGTATTTTGTACCTAAATTTGAACCTTTGCTGTTGGCAAATTAAATTTTTTTGGCAAAAATAATGTTTTAAACTCTATTACAATGTTTTTCATATGATTTACCGTACCCTTTTACATTCGCTAACACTACAAATTAAGTGTAAATTAATTACACTGTATTTTAACATTTTAAGAGCAACATAATACTATGTTAGTGCTAGTTTTACCTTGTGAGCACTACTTTTTGACATTTTACAATATTGAGTATATTAGTTTGGGGACAAAGTGTATATTAAGTAATACTAGAGTGCAGTTGTCCAATATATAATCATATAACGCTATTACTCAGTCATGGTATGTCATGTGCAATTGTTGTTTAAACTAAACTTATTTTCCAACGCATTATAATTTAGTGATAAAGTAAAATAATATTGGTATTGCCAATTCTTGGATTGTAAACAAAGTGCTTGCCATTTTTTGTATCGGAAAGAAAGTTCTTGCCATTTTTGTTTTGTAAAGAAAGTTCTTGCCAGATTTCGTCCTGTAAAGAAAGTTTATGCCAACTTTTTTCCCTTTCCGGTTATTTTTAAATTATCACCTATATAATATCACAACCATTACTATTATACCTTCTTTTACCGTTTACTCGGGTGTTTTTTCAAGCAAATTACAACAAATATGTTACAGAATTGTAACATACAATTGTAATCCGTTTAAAAATACCATGGTAAATGTGCCATAGCAACCTTTAGTTGGTGCCATTTGAATGTCACGCCAAAAATAACAAAAAACTAATTTCAATTATTTTTTTTGCCATTTATTTTTTGTAAACAAAGTTATTGCGGTTTTATTAATTTCCACACCGTGCAGCACCATTTTCCTCTTTTGCGCAGTGCGAAAGCGCGGTCCCGTCCGATCTGGCAAGTTAAGCAACGGTGCGCTTGATTATAAAAAGTTCGAGAAGCACTGGCTGGAAACAAATTTTTTGACATTTTTTTACTTTGGGCTGATAATGAATGGCATTTATCTCTGTTTTTAGGTATGAAAAACTCCTTTTTTGGTTTTCAAAAAATTTTTTGTCATTTCTTTTTGGCAAAAAGTAAGTTTTTGCCATGCTACATGTTAAAAACCATTTTACTGCCATTTTTAACACAATTTGTTACTGTAAACTTTACAACCTTTCATTTTTAAACATTTTAAACCCCTCCCACGCTTTTTATGACCTGAGCGGTTAAAATATCACTTCCAGTTGATCCACATTTTTATTTTTTCTTTCTTACTATTTTCAACTTATCGTTTGATTAAGTGACAAACAATATCAATCTAAAATTGCAATCATAACTGCATTTTTGGGCTCAGTTAAAACCCATTTTCCTAGTATTTACAGTTTAAAGTTACTGTTTTAAACGCACGAGTTACTTTTTATGGTCTTTTGCTACACTTTGTAACTTGTATTCCTTATTTGAAAACGTCAGAAAAAGGTTTGTTCGAATTTTGCATTGTAAATGAATGTAGTCAACTCAATGTGACAATTATGCTTGGGTACTCTGATTGTAGTTTTGTATTGTAAAGTTTTGGATATGTTGCTAGTGAAATTTGCAAAATAGTTCCTCTCAACCTTGAAAAGTGCCCAAAAATGTAATTTTCATCATTGTAAACAAAGTTATTGCCAAAAGTTTAATTTCTACACCGTGCAGCGCAATTCTTCTGTTTTGAACAGTGCGAATTTTTTTGTTTTGTAAAGAAATTTCTTGCACTTTTTTATTTTAAGCTAATGTAAAATGGCATTTTTTGCTGTTTTTAGGTTTGAAATGAAAATTTTTTGGCATTGTTTTTTGGTTTGTAAAGAAAGTTTGTGCCATGTTTGATCTATAAAATATTTATTTTGAAATTATAAATCCGTGTTACCTAATTCGTGGTCTCTTATAAATCCCGCAAAGAGGGAAATAAATTTTTTCAGATGTTTCAAAAACTATTGAATATCAAAAATAAACCGCCTCCAAAAGGGATAATCCATTTTCAATTAGTAAAAAAGTATTATAGACAAAAATCGAGTCGTTCAATAATACAACACGTGATTTTTGATACTGTAAACACAGTTTTTGTATTGTTTTTCCAATTTTGCCAAATTTAAATTTTTTAATTTTGAATTTCGCGGACTTTTTAAAAATGCCACATTTGCTAATTTGAAAACTAATATCCTCATTTCAGATACAATTAAAGCTATTGAAAGCTACTGCACTACTAGAATATTGAAAGTTACGGCACTATGTTAAGCAATTTACCATGAGAAGATACTACTACATGATATGAAGCTACCACTAATCTACCTAATTTATCTGGTACACCTCAAGGTACTAGTGGTACAATCAATATGCTCGTTTCGACATTACGAATTAACATGTGATCTGGCTGATCTTCAGTCTATCAATAGGACATTCGACCTGAATTTGGTCGATTATCAACGATTGTCATCAATCATATTGATATGTCCTAATAAGGGTTCTGGAGCGAAATTGATAGAAGGAAGTGGAGAGAAAGATAAGGATGATGAAAGAACAACAAGTGATAGTAAGAAAGGGAAGAGATTTAGACGATCAATTGATGTAGGTATAGGCAAAGCGACCGATTCAGAAAAACAAGGTAAAGATGGACAAAAATTGATCACAAATCCAACAAAACTGATCAATACAGACACTAAATCAACCGATCAAACTGAAAAACCAATTATCCTACCTTCAACATCAACAGATCGATCAGAAACATCAACAACAACCCAAAAATCAACTGAACTTTCACTAGAAAAAGCCCTTTTAACCTACTACAACAAGCTCAATACGACAAATTTAGAACGATTGAGTGTTGTCAATTGTAATGTAGACATAATCGCTCAATTACCAAAGATTTTGGGCTATCACGGACTACAATTTTTGAATTTGAGCAATAATAACATCAATGAATTCAGTTGGCAACAAGGACGACAGCTGGCTGCTGGGGCTAGATTGGAGTTGAGGTGGGTGAAGGTTTGTGAAAGTTGAATTATTGAGAAGTAATATTGATACCACAGCCTAAAAACACTGTAAAACGCAAAATAAGACTTACTTTTAAGGGTTTCCGACCTTGTTTTACGACTATTCAGGCTATAAGGATGTAAAACAATGTGTTACCTAAAATATATTAACAAAAAACGCAAAAAGACACGTACCTTTGAAGTTGCAGACCTTAGTTTAGGCTTATTCAAGTCCTAAGATGTAGAAGGATGTGTTACCTAAACTATATTCACGAAAAACAAGAAGAGCCGCTTACTTTTGAGGTTAAAAACCTTATTTTAGGCTTATTTCGGCAATAATTATGTAGAAATGATTGTTCCCTAAAAAAATTTCGTACAAAAACAAAGTGTAAACATTAATATATCTTACTTTAATAATTTTGGCCAAATGGCCAAAAATCTTGAGCATCGGAGATTCAGAAATCCAGATTCTTCTTTTCGATCCTCAACGAAACACTTGGCTCATTTTTTGAGTATAATAATAAAAATTTGCGTTGTTTTTAGCACCAACTGAGATATTATAACACTAGTTTTCTTTCAGAAACAATCCCTTGAACTGTTCCTGCAAAAACTCATGGCTCTTACATCTCCAACATCAACATACCGAAACCTATTGGTCGGAAGCTCAGATCCTCCAATTGCCATTGAAAATCACTGTTGATTCAAATGTAAAAACATGTCTGGATCAATTGAAATGCGAGGAAGAACAAACAATCGTTCGGCCGGCGTTGATCGAGACAAAAACTGGAGCTGAAGCTAACATCAACTGCCAATTCTCAACAGAAATCCCGAATTATGACAACTTGACGGATTCGGACTATGATAAATATGTAGCCAAGTCTTTTTTCTGGCTGTTCGATCGAGAAAAGAGCGAGATTGACAACAGAGAAGGGAGGATTGAGATCTATAGCAACAATAGCACTAGTGTCAGTTTGAGGGCGTCTAATTTGACTTCAGAAGAGCTGGGAATGATTGTATGTCAATGTAATCATTGTCAAGGACCTAGTTATGGCACTGCTGAAGTATGTTTTCAATATTTGTGTTTGGTTTTTAGGTTTCTATTAAAAGCGGATATTGAGGATGGTTAAAAATCGATGTTAAGTCTTTTTCTGATTGTAAATTAAAACGTTTTGTATTTCAAAAGTCAGTAATATTATTTTTCTCCAAAATAAGCCTAAACTCACAGAATCAAGCCCTTAAAACTACTGAGAAACAATAATTTTATAATAAATGGATAATATCAGGAAAGAAGGATAATATTGGCGCACGGATAACTGGGCCGATCGGACAACTGGGCCGGTTCCAACTGGGCCGATTCCAACTGGGCCGATTTGCCTTATAGTATGTCCGGGCTATATATTCCTAATAATATCGTAGTAAACTGCAATGTTAAGTGTTAAATACCACAGTAAAGTCGTATTTACCTCAACATATTTATACATACCATAGTAAATGATGGTATATTTGCAAGAAAATATTAAATACTTGTAATATATAATAGTTCTACATAATTTTGGTAACATATTACTATGTAAGTGACTTTTAAAGTAAAGCCATGATTTTACTACATATATATACCATGGTAAGTCATGGTATCTTGGCAAAAGTTGACTATATTAAATGTGGCGGAGGCTTTAGGGGATTCGGCGGAGACTTTAGGGTATTCGGCGGAGAGTCGGCGGAGGCTTTATGGAATACGGCGGAGGTTTTTTGGGATTCGGCGGAGGATCGGCGGAGGCTTTAGGGTATTCGGCGGATAAGGTAAGGTATGGTACAGTTTTGTATGGCATTGTAAGGTATGGTATGGTAGATAGTATAGAGCTTGCATAGTATGTTATGGTATGATAAGATATGGTATTGTATGGTATGGTATAAAATGATATGGAAGATATGGCGTGGTATTGTATGGTAGAGTATGGCATTTTATAATATGTTAGGGTATTGTAGGGTTAGGTATGGTAGATAGGATAGGATATTGCACAGGACTTTGTATGGTATATTATGTAAGATGGGTATGATATAGCTGGGTAGGATAAAAGGGGCAAGGGTGAAGTTGGGTACTGCTAAAAAGTTTAGAGGTAAGGTCGGGTAGAGACCCTAAAGCCTTCGCCAAATTCATAACAACCACCGCAGAATACCCTACCCTGAAGCCTCCGCCGACTCTCCGCCGAATAACCTAAAGCCTCCGCCGACCCTCCGCCGAATCCCCTAAAGCCTCCGCCACGTTTAATTAAGTCAACTTTTGCCAAGATACCATGACTTACCATGGCATATATATGTAGTAAAATCATGGCTTTACTTTAAAAGTCACTTACATAGTAATATGTTACCAAAATTATGTAGAACTATTATATATTACAAGTATTTAATATTTTCTTGCAAATATACCATCATTTACTATGATATATATAAATATGTTGAGGTAAATACGACTTTACTGTGGTATTTAACACTTAACATTGCAGTTTACTACGATATTATTAAGAATATATAGCCCGGGCATACTATAAGGCAAATCGGCCCAGTTGGAATCGGCCCAGTTGGAACCGGCCCAGTTGTCCGATCGGCCCAGTTGTCCGGACGCGGTAATATTGCATTTTCAGTTGCGATTTGAAACCCCATTGTCTGCCATTATTCATAGTCATGGAAAAGATGTTGAGCTAGCTGTTCATGGATTTCCATTAGCCAATTTAACGTTAAAGGTTACGAAAGAGTCGTCAAACAAAACTGAGGTTCACAACTTGAGTGATCAGTCGTAAGTAATATAAGGGTTCATAAAAGAAGGCAAAATATGATTTTTAGATTGAGAAGACTATTTTAGCCTTAAAAGATGTGCTTTTTATTTAAATAATGTATTTTAGGCTAAAAATATAGTTTTAAACCTAAAACTATTGCTTTAAGCCTAAAACACTAGATTTTATGCCTAAAACATTTGATTTTCAGCCTTATATCTTTATTTTCAAAATTATTTTTTCAGGACAATGTTTTTCAATGGCACGTTTATCACCAATTTTGAATCGGATCATTCTTTCGATTTTCTCAAATATTATCGTATCTACATCAAGGAATGTGCACTATGTCGTCGCAGCTTAGATTCAGAGAACGCTGCTTCAAATTATCAATTGGAAATCTGTTCAAACGTGAATTGTGCTGTTCTTGAAAGTGATTTTGGTAAGTATAATATCCTATTATTACCTAAATTTCCAATTTTTAGGCCGGCATCGCGGCGCAATTCCAACCAACCTAAAGCCAGTAAAATCGACCGGCCAACCCTCATTACTGCACCGGATTATAACTAATATCTTCTTCTTACTAGTGGCTACCTTCTTGGGTACTGTATTTTACTTTGTCTACAAAAAGCGACGAAAACCGAAGAAAAAAGCGACCGAAGAGAAGGCAGTGGTTAACTGGTCGAAGAACAGTCGAATTCGAAGGCCGAGTAAGACGACGATGAGTACGGAGGAGACGAGTTTGAGGGATGAGAGTATTTGTAATGCTAGTATATCACATTATTCCTTACAACACGTTCCGACCATCAGTAAAGAGCATCTGATCATCGAGAAGAAGATTGGAGGGGTAAGGGGTTTTTTTGTTAATTTAGGTAATAAAAAGGGCATTTTTGGGATAAAATTATGGTTATAGGCTTAGACTTAACATATGATCCTTAGGTTCAAATTTTTAGGCTTAGAGTGACATTTTTAGCCTTAAAATGACATTTTAGGCTTAAACTAATATTTTTAGGCTTAATGTTTTATTTTTAGGCTCTAGAGGATAATTTTAGGCTGAATGCAGTTTTTAGGCTTAAAGTCATTTTCAGGTTTAAAATGATATTATTAGGCTTCAAAACATTTTTATTCTTAAAGCGGCCTTGTTAGGCTTATATTGATATTTTTAGGCTTTTTATGAAATTTTAAGGCTTTAAGCGACAGTTTACATTTTTAGACTTAAAGTGACATTTTTAGGCTTAAAACGACATTTTTAGGCTTAGAGCGCTACTTTTAGGCTTAAAATTACATTTTCAAGCCTAAAATGACATAAAATGTCAATTTCGACTAAAAACTGACACCCTTAAAATAATTACGACATTCTCTATTCTAGGGTGCATTCGGCGACGTATTCCAAGGCGAATGGCTAGTCAAGAATGTCCCAGTGGCCATAAAAATGCTCCACAATGTTCAAGTAGACGCTCAAATGGACAAAGAAGCCGGCATGCTGGCGGAACTCGACCATCCCAATGTGGTCAAAATGTTCGGAGTTTGTCGCATGAGCGACCGCAATTTGGCTATGGTACTGGAATTAATGAATCGAGGGGATCTCAAGACGTATGTCAGCGACAGAAGGCCAAAATGCGACAATTACTCACAGTTCCCACCGGCTTTAATCAGGACAGAACTCATTGACATCGCTAGACAGGTAAGGGAATTTAGGAAACTTTGCTTCTAGGGTAGAGCAGGGTAGGTTAGAAAGGAAAGATTTAATATTTTTGAAAAAACTTTGTTTACAAGCCAAAAAATGAGCGAAAATTGCAGAAAGTAAGCTGTTTTTACATAAAATTGGTCAAAAATGACATTCTTTAACAACGCAAAATTGAAAAAATGCAAAAACTTTCCTTACAATACTCTAAAAACCTCAAAAACTTTGTTTCTATCCAATGTTCCTCGAACTTTTTATAATCAAGCGCACCGTTGCTTAACTTGCCAGATCGGACGGGACCGTGCTTTCGCACTGTGCAAAAAAGACAAATGGCGCTGCACGGTGCAGAAATTCATTTTTGGCAATAACTTTGTTTACAATAACTTGAAATGGCGTTTTTAAAAATTTTTGTGTTTTGGAAAGAACTTTCTTTACAAATTTTCAAAAACTTTATTTTTTGGCGAATTTTGGGAAAACCGCAATAACTTTCTTTACTAGAAATTAAAATCAAAAATTTTGAAAAAATGACAAAATTCGGATATGGTGGACTAAAACTTTAAAAAATGTTGATTTTAGGTGTGTACCGGTCTAGCCTACATATCATCCCAACAAATTGTACATAGGGATTTGGCCGCGAGGAATTGCCTGGTCTCTGGCGACACTGATATACGGGTCTGTAATGCCGCCTTCCGACCAGCGATTACCGTCAAAATCAGCGATTTTGGAATGTCTAGAAGGTGGGTCTTGATTTTTTTTTGAAATTTCGAAAAAAATTAAAAAAAATTTTTTTTTAAATTTTTTTAAAATTTTGAAAAAATGAAAAGAATGCTTGATTCAAGGCTTGTTTACCTCTATTATTGTCATTAATAACCCTATTTTTAGGTTATATTCTCATGCGGAATATTATCGCTTATCGGATAAACAAACAGCGCTCCCAGTCAGATGGCTGCCTCCAGAATGCGTAAACTCGGGAAAATTCACAACAATGTCGGATATTTGGTAGGGACTTTCTTGACAATATCATAAATGGCAATAATTTTTTTTTGAAAATCAAAAAAATTCAAAATTTATGAGAAAAAGCAAGAAAAAATGGCAAAAAATTAGTGTTTTTTTACTTAAAATGCCCAAAAATTTTATGTTTTATAACCTTAAAGGTAAAAGTTTGCAAAAATTTTCTTTCCACTACCATAAAAACCCCAAAAACTTTGTTTCCACTTAGCTCGAACTTTTAATAATCAAGCGCACCGTTGCTTAACTTGCCAGATCGGACAGGACCGCGCTTTCGCACTGTGCAAAGAAGGCAAATGGCGCTGCACGGTGCAGAAATTAAACTTTTGGCAATAACTTTGTTTACAATGACCTAAAATGGCGTTTTTCGAGATTTTTGAGTTTCGGAAAGAACTTTCTTTACAGAATTTGAAAAAGTGTATTTTTCTGTGGAATTTGAAGAAACCGCAATAACTTTGTTTACAATGATAAAAAATAATGTTCTTGGAAATTTTTTAAATTTTAAAGGAACTTTCTTCCCAAAATCCCTAATTTTTTAATTTTTAAATTATGAATTGCGATGGTTTTAGGAAATGCGCAATAACTTTCTTTACAAAACAAAAAATGGCAAGAACTTTCTTTACAAACGAAAAAATGGCAAGAACTTTCTTCACAGGCTAAAAATGGCAAAAACTTTCTTTACAACCACTAACTTTTTTCAATTTTCAGGGCATTTGGAGTGTTATTGTACGAGATCTTCAGTTTCGGTGACACGCCCTACGGCGATTTGTCAAATAATGAAGCGTTGGTGGCGGTTTTGGCTGGAATTAAGCCAGAGATTCCTAAATCAGCACCTGAGGCTATTAAGGAAGTCATGGCCGAATGTTATAATGACAAGCCGGAGGAACGACCGGTCGCTGAGGATTTACTCATTAGGTTTAAGGAAATGCATTAGTTTTTATTTTTTTTAATTTTTATTTTTTAAATTTTTTAAATTTAGTTTTTTTGAAATTTCGAAATTAAAAAAATTTTTTTTTAATTTTAAAATTTTAATTTTTTGTGTGTAATGTCACTACGGTGAGTTCAGATCGTACTGTACCACTTCCGAGTACATACAGTACCATTAAATTACATTGGTACTTGTTATAGTACGTTTGAAATTGTACAGTACGTTTTGAAACGAAATTGCTTCAGGGTTGTTGAGTCTTACCAAATGTTTTTGTCGGTATCGGGTTTGTTTCTGACATTTATATGGTCGTATATAGTATGTAATGTCATAAAAATGACTTTTTTTTAATCTTTGATGCGAATAGAATGGCTTATTTTTGAAGAAAATGGGTTTGGTCGGAAAAGAATGGCGTTTTTTAGCCAAAATAGGTTTTGATTCAAAAGGAATGGCGTATTTTGATTAAAAATTGGTTTGATGCAAAAAGAATGGCGTCCTACGGTCAAAATAAGTTTGTTGCGAAAAGAATGGCGTCTTTTGGACGAAAATGGGTTTGATGCAAAAAATTTGGTATAAAGATAAATGTACAGTCAAAAAGAGACCATATAAATGTCAAAAACAGGTTACTGTATGTGTAAATACGTTGGATACGGTAATTAAGCCTAAACTTTATTACGTTGTTCAAAAACTTCTGAGCCATATCTTAAAGCAAATTATTAGCGATAGTAGCTCAGAATTTTTTTGAACAAGCTAATAATTTTTTTTTTTGAGTTTTTCAATTGTTTTTACCTCAGTAATATATTATTTTAAGTATATTTATCATCTGATTACAATTATTACAACGATCTCTATCATACTGTAATATCATTGTGGTTGTTTTCTTACTGTTGTTATGGGTACACATCACTCTTTTCATCTATTGTTGTATATATTTATAGTTAATAAAGATGATTATTATTATTTTTTTAAAATTTAAAAATTGACTTTCGCTTCAAAAACTTGATTTACATAAAAATGGCAAGAACTTTGTTTACAAATCAAAAAATGCCATTCTTTATAAGCTCAAAATGAAGAAATTGCAAAAACTTTATTTCCAGGACTCTAAAAACCTAAAAAACTTTGATGCTCTTCGAACTTTTTATAATCAAGCGCGCCGTTGCTTAACTTGCCAGATCGGACGGGATCGCGCTTTCGCACTGTGCAAAGAATACAAATGGCGTCGCACAGTGCAGAAATTAACTTTTTGGCAATAACTTTGTTTACAATGATGTAAAATGGCGTTTTTGTGAATTTTTGAGGCTTGGAAAGTACTTTCTTTACAAATTTTTTGAGAAACATAAAATTTGGTTGTTTTTTGAAAAACCGCAGTGACTTTTTTTACAGAAAAAAAATGTAAACAACTCTTTTTTGAGCTCAAAAATGGCAATAATTTTCTTTACAAAACAAAAAATGGCAATAATTTTCTCTACAAAACGAAAAATTGCAAAAACTTTCTTTCCAACCTGCAAAATAAAAAAAATTGTGTTTTTAACCTCATTCTCCGCCGAACTAACCTCAATTTGACACAAAAACAAACAATTTACACAGTTACTCATACTCAAACATTACTCATCCGCCTACGGTTCTTAAACCTACTGTTTAACCTTTTGAAGTTTGTGAAAAAACCGCGTTATGACAATATTTGCGCAACGTAAAACGCGGTTTTTTGCTGACAATCATTAAAAAAATAATAGCAATACTTATTTCCCCCCCCCCCTCTTCTACGCCCCGTGCACCCTTCCTAATCTCGCTCTACACGCCCCTCCCCCCCCCCTCCTCTCGAGAGTTATAATTGTTTAATCAAAACCCACTTAAAGTCTATCAAGCTTAATCTCATCGGCCGTCTCCTGGCTTAGTACAATATTTTTGGGCCGCTAGAAAGGTTGGAGGTTAGAAGTGGGGGTGATTATTTCCATCTTATAAATAGATCATATTGTGATACATTGAATGTATACACAATCATTCGACGGTGAGCTTATATGCGTCCTCTATAGGCTATAAGAGTGCTATTTTATACGATTATAGGTCTGTAAGAGTGCATACTATATTGTGATAGGATATACGAAGCCTATTCTATATTATTATAGACCTCAAAGGTTATATTCTACATTGTTATAACATTTAAAGCCTGTTTTTTATATTAATATAAGACTCAAAGACCTAGTCAATATTATTTTGTTCTAAATTTTCAATTCAAAAATTTAAAATTTATAATTTTTCTTAAATTTTTAATATTTTTCCTACTTTTGGTGCTATTTTCTTGTCAAAATGAAGTTATTTTTAAACTCCATTTTGATACTAAGTTATATTCTCATAGTACACGGTAAGCTCTTTTTTATACTTCTTTTAAAAACTATTTTAAAAACCAAAAAAAAGTAACAAAAACAGTTTTTTTTGAAAAAAATAGTTTTTACATAATAAAAATGATAAAAAAATGTCATTTTTTGTCACACCCAAATCAAAAAAATGCAAAAAAGTCCTTTTCATTACCCTAAAAACCTTAAAAACGTTGTTTCCACCCAGTGTTCCTCGAACTTTTTATAATCAAGCGCACCGTTGCTTAACTTGCCAGATCGGACAGGATCGCGCTTTCGCACTGTGCAAAGAAGACAAGCGGGACTGCACGGTGCAAAAATTCATTTTTTGACAATAACTTTGTTTACAATGACCTAAAATGGCGTTTTTGAGAATTTTTGAGGGTTGGAAGGAACTTTCTTTACAGATTTTTTAAATAACTTATGATTTTTGATGGGTTTTGGGAAACTGCAAGAACTTTCTTTACAGAACAAAAATGGCAAGAACTTTGTTTACAAAATTTGAAAAATAATTTTTTGGCAAAAACTTTCTTTCCAGTTTAATTTTTTAACTTTTTCAGCTAAAAACAAGTCAAACTCGACCTTTTCTCAGCTATCAACATCATCTACAGTATCTCACAAGCCGAACCTATTAGGAAATGTCACAAAAATACTACCAACTACTACCGTAGCTTCTCTGCCAAAACTAAAAGATGATCCATTGCCAGAGGAAGTGGTACCAGAAGTCGTAATCAATGATAACATTGGTGTTAGTGATCAAGAGGGTACTGTAGTGGGCCAAGGTAGTGATGACATACCATTGTTAGGTCAAAATTTGTTAGAAAATCAAATTTTGGGCCAAAATGGTTACAGTAATCAGCTTAATGGCCAGAATGGTTACAGTAATCAGTTTAATGGGCAGAATAGTTACAGTAACCAATTACCTTTACAAAATGGAGTCTACAGTAACCAACTACACCAAAATGGCCTTCAAAATGGTTACAATAATCTACCGTACCCCCAAAACGGCTATAACAACCAGTTACAGTACCAAGGCTACATTAACCCACTTGTACCCTCAAGGCAACTTTTTGACCAAAATGCCATTTCAAACCAGACCCCCTTGACTAGAATGTCAGTAAACGGTCAGCCGATGATGTTCCCACCTAATATGATATGTTACTGTTGTAATATCAACTGCTCACCCAATGGAGTACCACAATATCGACCAGCACCGGTAACACCGGTACCAGTTGCACAAGGAGAGTGGGCTCAATGGGGCGAATGGTCCGCTTGTGAAGACAATTTCGGAGGTAATTTAAGAATTTTATAACAGATTTTGAAAAATTTTGATTTTTTTTGCAAAAACTTTCTTTACAGCCTAAAAATTTTTAAAATTTGACTTTTTATACCTAAAAATGGTCTAAAATAACATTAAAATGACTTAAAATGCCATTTTTTAAAAACCTAAAAACCTAAAACTAAAAAAAAAAAAAAATTTCAATATTAAAAAAAACGCAAAAACTTTCTTTACAAACAAAAAAAAACAAAAAATTAGCTCTTTATACCTAAAAAATAGCTAAAAATTCCATTCTTTATTATCCCAAAATAAGAAAAATGCAAAAACTTTCTTTCCAACACCCTAAAAACCCCAAAAAAGATTGTTTCCACCCACTGTTCCTCGAACTTTTTATAATCAAGCGCACCGTTGCTTAACTTGCCAGATCGGACGGGACCGCGCTTTCGCACTGTGCAAAAAAGCCAAATGGCGCAGCACGGTGCAGAAATTAAATTTTTGGCAATAACTTTGTTTACAAAGATGTAAAATGGCGTTTTTGAAAGTTTTTGAGTATTTGGAAGAAACTTTCTTTACAAAAATTTTAACAAATTATTTTTTTTTAGGTTCGGATAAATCGCAAAAATTTTCTTTACAAAACTTAGAAATTTTTAAAAATTTAAAGAAAGTTAATTTTAAATTCACGTATTTTACAGTAACCTCCCAAACCCGTAGAAGAACTTGTATTGGTGGTAACTGCCCTGGTGGAGAGTTTGAACAAGCTAGGAGGTGTCTTCAGACTCCACAACAAGATGAACCGCCTGCTAATCAAAATACTTGGTCTGACTGGTCGAATTGGAGCTCATGCAGGTAAATTAAGTTCAAATTTGCATATTTTAGACTTAGAAACACATTTATATGCAGAAAATGAGTTCTAGGCCTAAAACAAATCTTTAGGTTTGGATACACCTTTTTAGGTTTAAGTACGCATTTTAGGCTTAGGTACACATTTTTAGGCTTAGAAACCTACTTTGGGCTTAGAAGCACATTTTTAGGCTTAAGTACACAGTTTAGGCTTAGAAGACACTTTTTTAAGCTTAGAAACACATTTTAGGCTTAAGTACTCATTTTTAGAATTAAGTACACATTTTTAGGCTTATGATGCGTTTTTAAGCTTAAAAAATATTTTAGGTAGGCTTATAGCGAAATTTTAGGCTTAGGTATACATTTTAAGGCTTAATACACATTTTAAGACTTATCATCTTGAAGATAGGGTAAAGTAGGGTATGTCAGACAGAATACGATAGAGTAGGATAGATAATATAAGAAGAATAGGGCGTGGTAATTTTTAAATATAATATTTGACTTCAGTAAATCCTGCGGTCCAAACAACTTCCGTACTCGTGCACGCCACTGTAAATGCTCAAACGCAGTATCACTAGACGATTGTGTGTGTATTGGTGACTCAACAGAACGACAGGACTGTCCCACCGTACCGTGTTGCGTGCACAGCCCGTGGAGCGAATGGTCCTTGTGCTCCACCACGTGTGGTCCTAATGGTATGCGACAGCGAGTACGAACATGCTCGTGTGCTGAAGGACCAGATTGTGATGCTCTCGGTGCTAAAATTGAGCAACAACCATGCGCTTTCTCAGTACCATGCACACCATTGAGAGATGAAACAGTACCAGTAGTACCATCAGTACCATGTGTGAATTGTGCACCAACAGTACCATGTGCTAATTGTGCTCAGTCGGATGGAAGCACAATACAATGTGTGAATTGTGCACCAGTACAAGCACCAACGGTACCATGTGTCAATTGTAATAGTGTGTGTTCGTACTGTCCAGTTGGGTACACTCAGCCATGTTATACTTGTTTGTCCAAGAAGAAAAGAGAAGCGTTGTTGAAGGAAAAAGTTGTTATATCATAAAAATGTCATTTTGAATTGAAGTTGTTTCAAAAATTTTTATTGTACATTTTGTTTTGACTTGTTTTAATAAAAATGTTTTAAAATATTCAAATTTTAATGATTTTTAAATATAAAAGACCTTTAAAAGCAAAAAAAGCCATTTTGAAACACACCTAAAACTTAAAATTGCAAAAACTTTCTTTCCAGCACTCTAAAAACCCCAAAAAGTTTGTTTTCACCCAGTGTTCCTCGAACTTTTTATAATCAAGCGCACCGTTGCTTAACTTGCCAGATCGGACGGGACCGCGCGTTCGCACTGTGCAAAGGAGGCAAATGGCGCTGCACGGTGCAGAACTTCATTTTTTGGCAATAACTTTGTTTACAATGATGTAAAATGGAACTTTTAAGGTTTTTTGGGTTTTGGAAGGAACTTTCTTTACAGATTTGTTGAGAAACTTTTGATTTTTGATGGTTTTTAAAAAAGCGCAAAAACTTTCTTTACAAAACAAAAAATGGCAAGAACTTTCTTTACAAAAAATATGGTAAGAACTTTCTTTACAAAAAAAATAGTAAAAACTTTCTTTACAAATCAATTTTTTTCAATTTTAAGTGGCATTTATTACCTAAAATACCTGCTTTAACGTTTGCAAAGATCTACAATGTTTTGTAAAGAAAGTTCTTGCCATTTTTTTTGATACAAAGTAGTTTACTATGTAAAAAAAGTCATTATACAAAGGAGTTTACTCTATAAAAGATGTTATGCCATGATGTACTATTAGCCTGTTAACTTAATTCTGCGCCTCTTCTCAAAACAAATTTGTGAGGTACAGGGGCGCAGAATTATGTGAACAACTTAATATGTTAAACATGTCCCCAAGTAAACTAGTACTATGTAAAAGAAGTCATCAGATGTACTATGTAAACCTTATAAATCCATTTGCACAACTTTTCTTTACTTTTTCGTTTTTGCCCTCCGGGCGAATTGAATTTTAAGCGCGGCCAATTTGTCGCATTTTTATCCGTTTTTCGACAAAAATCACGCCATTCTTTTGCGAACATTTCGTTTTTTTACGCCGAATTTGCGTTTCGACCGGTTTCGGCACCTTTTTATTAAGATTTCGCCTCCGTTCAGCTGATTTTACAATATCCAATTGCTCGGTATTAAATGAGGGTTTCTTGTTCTACTGAGGTCTTTGAGGTTTCTTGGTTGGTTTACATACACTATATTTGTTTTGGATGGTAGGTAGGTTAGGATTTTGAAGTGTATTTTTGAGCTTAGGGTACGGTAGGGTAAGGTAAAGTGAAGTAGAGTACCTAAAGAGCATATTCGAGACTAGGGCACTGTCGGGTAAGATTTTATAGGGTATATAGCCCAAACATGAGTAGGGTATGATAGGGTAAAGTAGGGCAGGGTAGGGTAAGGTAGGGTAGGGCAAGACATAGTGGGATAAGGCAGCTAAAGAGTACATTTTAGCTTGGAACAGAGTATGGTAGGGTAGAGCGAAGTAGAGTAACATTTTAAAGGGTATGTAAGCCTAGAGTATGGTGAGATAAGGTGGGGTAGGATCGGGCAGGGTAGAAAAACAAATTGTAAGTTATGGTAGGAGGGTATGGCTTGGCTTGGCTTGGCTTGGCTCAGCATGGGTCAGCTTAGCTCAGCAGAAGAAGTAGGTCAGGGTAAGGTCAAGTAGGGTAAGATAAGGTAGAGTACAGTAGGGTAAGTGTGAATACGGTAGGGCAAAGTAGGGTATAGTAGAAAAAAGAATTGTAGGGTAGGGTAGGGTAGGGTAGGGTAGGGTATATGACGTTCTTTATGAGTAGTGTTTCAAATGTTGCGACAAGCTCTGGTCTTGGTTTAGACGTGTGACCAAGGTCAAGGCGATCAAGTTTTACGAAATGTTTTGAAAAATCACCTATTGTTTTGAGCCGGCTGATTTATAATGTCATATCTTAGTTTTTGCTTGTTTATTGCGCAACTTTTTTTGTTTTTTGACTAATTGATTATAAGGTTGGACATAGTGAGTCATCATAAGCTTGAAAAGGAACAATTTTTAAATTTTGTAAAAAGAAAGTTCTTGGTATTTCTTGTTTTGTAAAAAAAAGTTCTTGCGATTTTTGGTTTTACAAGCAAAATCCCTGCCATTTTATACCCAACCCTACATTCCCATGCCTTTTACCTTCAAGCGCCATAAAACAATGAGGGGTTTTAAAAGTTTGACCCAAAACTCTATGTGTAAACCAGTTTTTTTTTATTTTTAGCTAGACGGAAATACGAATTTGTTACAGTTTTAGATCCACAAGAGTTTTGTTTGCTCGTTTTTTCAAAAATTCGAAAAAAGTAATTTTCTTCGAATTGGATCAGTGATCCCGCTTGTTTTCCAATGATTTTTAAAAATTTTGAGGAAGTTTTTAATTGGCAATAATATTTTTTTGCGGCCAATAGTAGGGTAGAGTAATGTAGAGTAGGGTAGAGGGCGGAAGTAGGGTAGGGTAGGGTAGAGTAGGGTAGGGTAGGGTATGGTAGGGTAGGGTATGGTAGGGTAGGGTAGGGTAGGGTAGGGTAGGGTAGGGTATGGTAGGGTAGGGTAGGGTAGGGTAGGGTATGGTAGGGTATGGTAGGGTAGGGTAGGGTAGGGTAGGGTAGGGTAGGGTAGGGTAGGGTAGGGTAGGGTATGGTAGGGTAGGGTAGGGTAGGGTAGGGTATGGTAGGGTAGGGTAGGGTAGGGTAGGGTAGGGTAGGGTAGGGTAGGGTATGGTAGGGTAGGGTAGGGTAGGGTAGGGTAGGGTAGGGTAGGGTAGGGTAGGGTAGGGTAGGGTAGGGTAGGGTAGGGTAGGGTAGGGTAGGGTAGAGTAAAACTCAATTTTTTTCTGTACTTTGACCACTTGTACTCAATTCCTAAAAAACCGACCCGAGAGCAACAATACGAACGCACGATTGTATCCGTATAGCCAGATCTCATTCCATCATCCCTCCGCTTTTTTTAAGATCATGACGATTTCTGGCTGAAATCCGATATCAGGGTGATGGGAAATTTGATTTGGCTTTTGTCGCATTAAAATTCAATCAAGGCTTTCCCTAGCCCTAGCCCTAGCCCTAGCCCTAGCCCTAGCCCTAGCCCTAGCCCTAGCCCTAGCCCTAGCCCTAGCCCTAGCCCTAGCCCTAGCCCTAGCCCTAGCCCTAGCCCTAGCCCTAGCCCTAGCCCTAGCCCTAGCCCTAGCCCTAGCCCTAGCCCTAGCCCTAGCCCTAGCCCTAGCCCTAGCCCTAGCCCTAACTCTAATACATAGTTTTCTCTTTTGCCTTGCCCGCACAAAAAAAATTTGTTTAAATTTGCCCTGCCCACAAAAAAATTGTCATACCTTTGAAGGTTTATAATTTTTCTTGCCTTAGCTCAATAATGAAAAAAAATTTTGATTTACCCCCAAAAGTAAAAAAAAATCCTGCCCTATTAACTACTACTAACAACTATACTATCTCAATACTGAAAAAAAATTTTTTTTCTTACTCATTATTTGTAAAAAAGCCAAAACGAGCTAAATTTATCAGGCCTTGATTTGAGACCCTTTCAAATCTACCCTACCCTCAAAAATCTGCTTTATGCTCTGTTGTCACTATGTCAAATCAAGTTTATTTGCAGCAAACCTTCGGTTCAAAAGGAAATGGCTTTGCGTGTTTCTTTTTCTTCGCTTTCTGTAACTAACATGACATTGTGGACATTAAAAACGAAAAAAAACATGGATTTCGAATTGAACTTGTTTTTGGATTCATCTTTTGAATAACTGGCTAGCGAATCCACGTAAAAGTGCGCTTTTAATTTATTGGATTACCTTTGCGACTTGTAATTACATTACCTTTAAGAACACGGGTTCGGGGGTGGTTTGAAACATTTTGAAGTTTAGGAGGAGGTGGAAAGAAAGTTCTTGCCATTTTTTGTCTTGTAAAGAAAGTTCTTGCCATTTTTTGATTTGTAAAGAAAGTTCTTGCCATTTTCTGTTTTGTAAATAAAGTTCTTGCCATTTTTTGAGATTAACACCGCGTTTATTGCGCAAATTATTATTATAAAAAAATCTTTTTAGTAATTTTGTAAAGAAAGTTCCTTCCAAATCTCAAAAATCTTAAAAAACGCCATTTTAGATCATTGTAAACAAAGTTAGTGCCGAAAAATTAGTTTTTGCACTGTGCATTGCCATTTGTCTTCTTTGCACAGTGCGAAAGCGCGGTCCCGTCCGAAGCAAGTTAAGCAACGGTGCGCTTGATTATAAAAAGTTCGAGGAACACTGGGTGGAAACAATGTTTTTTGGGGTTTTTAAGGTACTGGAAAGAAAGTTCTTGTCATTTTTTGTTTTGATGGTTATTAGTAATGGCATTTTGGAACGTTTTTTTGTAAAATTTGTAAAAAATTAGGGAAAAAGGGGGTGGAATCTAAGTTTTTGGGTTTTTTGGAGTCCTGAAAAAAAGTTTTTGCGTTTTTTTTTCTAATTTTGGGTAAAACGTTTTGTTATTTTTTATATATTTTGTTATCTGTTTCTCTATTGAGGTCTCTATATCTTCATATCTTATACTACATACCTACTACAATATCCTTTACTATTACCCCAGCCCTTCTTCTACCTCTTCCCTTTACCCACTCCTTTTCCATCTCTTCCCCACTCTTTACCCTCCCCTTTCTCTCTTCTATCCCCACCCTTCTCCACCCTTTACCCTCCCTCCAGCTTTTCTTCTACCCTTCCTTACCCTTTCCCCCCCCCCTTTTCTACCCCTGCATCACCCCCCCCTACCGGTATATTTGTTTATTTTTTTGACGTAAGAGACCTTAAGGGAAAAAAAAATTTCTGTTTGTAGTTTTAATCTGGTTGTGTGTTTACCTTCTACCGCACCGTAGTTTATTATTCGCACTTTCGCTCTATGAAACGGCTACCGCTTTATATTGTACTCAATAACATGTTGTTTATAGTAAATTATGGTGGGATTTCTGGTGGATGGTGTGACAAGTTTGTAGTAGGACTTGAGGTTGGTGTTAGGAAGGAGAATTTAATTTTAAGTAAAGTGAAAAGAAGAAAGGGGGTAAAAATAATTTTTTGATTATGGTAGGCCGGGTAGGGTAGGATATGGTACAGGGCTGGGCTGGACTGGGCTGGGCTGGGCTGGGCTGGGCTGGCCTTGGCTTGGCTTGGCTTGGCTGGGCTGGGATATTATAGGATGGGCTGTACAGGGCTAGGCTATGCTGTGCTGGGTTGGAATTGGCTTGGCTTGATTTGGCAGAGCTGGGTTGATCCAGTCTGGGCTAGGCTAGGCTGGGTTAGGCTTGGCTGGGCTGGACTGTACTGCTCTAGACTGGGCTGAAGAAAGATCGGTTTTGCTGGGCTGTGTTGAGCTGGACTTGGTTTGGCTTGGCTGTGCTGCGCTGTGCTTGACCAGGATCTTCCGGGCTGAGCTTTGCTGAGCTGGGCTGGGCTTGGCTTGACATAGCTAAGCTTGGCTTGGCTGTGTTGGCTTGGCTAAGCTGGGCTTGTATTGGCTTGCTTGGGCTTTGCTTTTAGGGTAGGGTAGGGTAGGGTAGGGTAGTTATTTATAAAAGTCATAACTAGCCTAAAACAAGTTTTTTCCCTCAAAATTTTTATTTTTCTGTCTAAATTACCAAATCTTAAGCGAACTAAATTACATGTAAACTCATGATGGCTGTTCCTCTTCCCTACTTCGTTCCGCATCATCGTCGTCGTTTTTACTATGACCGTTGAATCGTTCGCTTTTTTCGCAAAACCCAAATTTTTAATATAAAAGTCGGGGTGGGGGAGGTGGCGGGCTCAAAAATATCGAGTTTTGGTGGACTGTTTTGGAGTTGAGGGGTACTGTAGGTTGGCTGGTTAGTTATACTGTATGTTTTCTTTATTTTTTTCATTATAGATTGTGTTGGGCAAGGTAATTTTGTGTGTGTGGAGAGGGGGGGGAGGGGGGGGAGGTATCAAATCAATCTTTTTGGTTCAAATTAGATAGGGCAGGGTGAATTAAGTGTTAGTTAAGGCAGGGTAACCTAAGTATTACTTAGGGCAGGGTAAAGTACTTGTTAGTTAAAGCAGGGTAATCTAAGTGTTACTTAGGGCAGGGTAAAGTAAAAAAAACTTTTTAAAAAAAATTTGGGGCGGGATTGGTGGGAATAATTTTTTTATTGCCATGCCTTGACACAAAAGAGTAAATAAAGTGTTATTTACATGTAACTTTTCCAGTATTATCTCTTATATCATTATAATACTATATTAGTGTGTTAAAAAAAGTCTTGTCGTTTTTCTTCATGTAGTATAATGTAAATAAACGACAAGACTTTTTTTTTACGTTTTATTAGTTAGAATTGTACATTATAATAACTGAAGGCGTAACTTTAACATTTTTAAAATTATATATTTTGCTAAAAAAATTGTAAGCTTTAGCTTTTGGTCTTTTTGTCATTTGTTGTCACTTTACTTCTTTATTAATTATGAAAACTTTGAGCCCAAATTAACATTTTAAATCTTTTGACATTCTTTGCTTATATAATCTGCTTTTTCTTGAACATTTCAAAATGACTTTTTGTTTTGTTTTTTAAATTTGCAAAAAATTTAATTTAAAAATTTAAAAAAAAAACTTATCTACCCCCAAAAAATTTTTTGCCATACCTTCTATTTTTAAATATTTTGCTTTTTTGGACATTTTAAAATGACTTTTTTGTTTTTAAAATATTGCGGAAAATGCATTTTTAAATTTTGAAAAAAAATTATCCACTCCCAAAAAAATTGTTTTTGTCATATTCTGGTTTTAAATAATTTGATCTGGGCATTAAAAAATGATTAAAAATGCATTTTTAAATTATAAAAAATTTATCTACTTCCAGGAAAATTTTTTTTGCCATATTCTGTTTTACTCTGCCTTAACACACTCTGCCTTGCCATGCCCTGACTTTGTCCTGGCCTTGCCCTGGCCTTGCTATGGCCTTGCCCTGGTCGTGCCCTGGTCTTGCCTTGCCTTACCCTGCCCTTGGGGTTTCTTTGACATGCCCTGCCTTTGCCTTGGCTTTCTTTGCTCTATCCTACCCCGCCGTGCCCTTGGCTTTCTTTCCCATACCCTGCCCTTGGCTTTCTTTGTTCTACCCTACCCCGCCCTGCCCTTGGCTTTCTTTGCCATACCCGGCCTTTGGCTTTCTTTGCCCTACCCTGCACTGTTTTACCCGTCTTTACCTTGCCATGCCCTACCCTAATCTTTCTCGTTTCACCTTGATTTAACCTACCCTATCCTACCTTACCCTATCTGAATTCACCTTGATTTACCTTACCTTACTTTCTCTAACTTTCTTTTTCTACCCTACCTTAAATTACGTTACCCTACCCTCTTTCCCTTCATCTTCCCCTACCCTCGCCTAAAAGTAAGAGTAATCCTTGATCAGCCTAAGGTAACATAAATCACCTCGAGTTGTTATTTTTCGAAATATTTTTATTATTTTGAGACAGCCTACTCTTTTCGATCAGTTCCATCGTTGAGGGTTTCAGAAGGAGGCGAGGGATTCATCACTCTCACTTTTAACGCGTCTTCCAAGAGAGGGGGGGGGTTCTTAAGTTGAAAACAATTTAACTGAAACCGATGAGGTATTGTGATGGATAAGAGGTGAGGAGGGGGGGGTGTTCGTATATATTATTTAATAATGTGTGCGGGCATGGGTATACATTGTGATAGATGAGAGGTGAGAAGGGGAAGGGAGGGTTCATAAATCTTTATTCTTTTTTAATTTGTATGGGCATAGGCATATTGTGGAAGAAATGGAGGGAACGTGTGTAGGTTGTTTTACTTGGCATGACAATTTAAAACGTGGGGTAGGATAAAAAACAGTTTTTTTAAAATAAAAAGTAAGGCTGGGCTAAAGGTAGAACCAGCCATTTTTTGAGTTGAAAAAAAAGACAAGGTGGGGTAAAATAAAAAAAAGGAGGGGGTTGAGTAGGGGTATCGAAAAAAATGCAAGGTTTTGGGTATGGGTAAGACATGTTGTATAATAAATGGAAAAAGGTAGGGCATGGCAGAAACAAAGAATGAAGGAAATAAGGCGCGGGAAAGAGAGAGCATGGCAGAAAAAGGGCATGGTAGGGTATGGGAAAAAAGTTAAAAAAAACTCGGGCAGGGTAGGGTAAAACAGAGCAAAATAAGGTATAGTAGGGAAAAGGGTAATGTAGGGTAGGGTAGAGTAGGGTAGGGTAGGGTAGGGTAGGGTAGGGTAGGGTAGGGTAGGGTAGGGTAGGGTAGGGTAGGGTTTGCTGTGTCTTTATGTTACTGTTTCGAGTGACTAGCGCAAAAAAAAAGAGTTGGGAAGACAACAAATTGGGCGGTAGGAGGGGAAAAATCGGTGCGACAAACACCGGGGTGGCTATTCTTCGACAGCGTGAGAAACGGTGACGGATCAGTTCAAGGTGGATACATTAAGATTAATGGGATTGCGGTCTTCGGGGTGAGGGAAGATGAGGGGTAGGGTAGATTTTTTAGGTAAGACAGATATTTTTTATAAGGGGGGGGGGGTGGATTTTTTTTAGAGTAATGTAGATTTTTTTTGGGCAGGGTAGTTTTTTTTTTAAATTGGGGTACATTTTTTAAAGCAGGGTAGATTTTCGAGGGATATTTTGAATATGGTGGATCCTTTCCCCTCTTTTTCTCTCTTCTTAGTGCTTATTTATTCCCCCCCCCCTCCCCCCCCGTCCCTTCTCGTTTTCTTCTTTTCTCCACCCTCCCCCACCCTTTCTTTTACCCCTCTCTTTTTACCATCAATCCTTCTTTTTAACACTCCTCCCTCCCCTCTCCGTTCCTGGTCTCACGCCAGCGTGTCTGTTTCTACACGTTCAGCAACGCAACACCCTCCTCCCCCCACTCCATTTATCTTTAAGACGATTTATCGCTTTTTACGCTTTTGTTACCTGCCTCAGAGATATTATTGTTGTGAAGTAATTCCTCTGAATACAAAGAGGTAATGACCACTCACGTAATCCGACAACAATTATTAACCGTTCTTATTGTAGTAATAGGGGGGGGTGTTGTGGTCAATTCCTGTAATTTATTGGTAAATAAATTTGATTTAAGAGGATTACGGTAGATTAGCACACCCTACCCTACCCTACCCTACCCTATCCTACCCTACCCTACCCTTCTCTATCCTACCCTATCCTACCCTACCCTACCCTACCCTACCCTACCCTACCCTACCCTACCCTACCCTACCCTACCCTACCCTACCCTACCCTACCCTACCCTACCCTACCCTATCCTATCCTACCCTACCCTACCCTTCTCTATCCTACCCTATCCTACCCTACCCTACCCTACCCTACCCTACCCTACCCTATCCTACCCTACCCTACCCTACCCTACCCTACCCTACCCTACCCTACCTCACTCTACTTTGCCCTACCCTACCCTAAAACACTTCTTTTTTACTATATCCTACATTGCCCTGCTTTAATCTGATCTACTCTACCATACCCATGCTACTTTACCATGCCCTATCCTACTATATCTTTTCTTTTCACACTCCACTCTGCCCTGTTCTACTTTTTTCTACCCTTTTGTACCATACATTACCCTACTTTACCCTACAATACTCTTTATTAATCTCAAAAAAGTCTTGTCGTTTTTAAACGTTAAATCCTATATTAAATGGCGACAAGAATTTTTTATGGCTTATATGACAATTTGTTTTTAATTTTTAAACATTTGAGAGTAACCACCGCGTAGTAATTATATATTTTGGAATGTAAAATACGTTCATTATAATTATTAATTTTTTTAGCCAGATGACAAGGTTACAACACATACTACAGCTATCGGCTGTTCTCTTACCTCTATTTTTAGCTCAACAATTTCATATTAGTGGGCCGGGCAGTGTTGGAAGCTTGGATCCTTGCAAATATTTTGAAAATGTTACAGGTAAGACATTACTTTCTCATTGTTTTTGGTTTAAAAATTTTGAAAATCACCCCCCAAAAAAATTTACCACGCCCAAAATTTTTTGTTTTTTTTAAAGTTTAAGGTTTATATAAATACAAAAATTTTTTAAAATTTATACTTGCTTCACTCCATCTGCATTATCCACCTCCAAAAATTTTTACCCCGCCCAATTTTTTTTTGTTTTTTTAAAAAATGACAGTTGTTATAGCCGGAAAAAAAATCTGTCATACTTTTTTTCCCCTTCCCCCTCCCCCCCCCAAAAAAATTTTTTTTACCCCGCCCTACTTTTATTTTCAAAAACAGGTTGAAATGCCATTTTTAGATGTACAACAACTAAATCACCATGAATTCGTGGCTTTTGAACAATGCTTATACTACTTCTTGGCCAACAAAGCTCAACAAGGTTCGGCCAAGTTCGGATCAGTCCACCCAATCGCCACCCTTCCACCAGTCTACGGAAGCACCGATCAGAAGAATGTCAAGGTTAAAGTTGGCCAGATTACTTTACAGCACTTCCAATTGGTATGGTTTTTTAGATTTTTATGATTTTTCTTTGGGCGGGGTAATTTTTTAAAATTTTTTGGGCGGGGTAAATTTAAAAATTTTTTTGGAATTTTTTTTAATTGCTTAGGCGTGATAGAATATTAAAAATTTTTGGACGGTGTTGATTTTTTAAATTTTTTTTGGGCGGGGTAATTTTTAAAAATTTTGAGCGGGGTAGATTTTTGTATTTTTTGGGCAGGGTAGATTTTTCATTTTTTTTGACGGGGTACAATTTTTTAAATTTTTTAGTTAAGGTAGGGTTTTTTAAAATAGGTTAGGTTCTGGGTTATGGTAAAGCTGAAATGTACCCTTAGGCTTTGAAATTTTAAATTGTATTTCAAAATTTCAGAACGAGTTTGTGAAAGACCTGAACATCATGGGTTACATGGAGATGCAATGGGATGACCAACGTCTGGCTTGGGACCAAAGTCAATGGAAACTAGAAAAACTTCAAATCCACTCGGCCAACCACATTTGGATCCCAGTCCTCTCGTCACAAGCCTACGAGACCTCGTTGCGCAACGATGACGTCATGGAGGTGCGCAAGTTGGAGACCTCGAACAAGGGCAACGTCTCAGCCGTCATCAGCTTCAGTCTGAAGACGTTCTGCGACGACACCGACTTCCGCCACTTCCCCGACGACGTCTACAAGTGCTGCTTCCAACTGGAGCCCCACTTCAACCAAGACCTCATCGAGTTCAGTGTGGATGGCCTGCCCGTCTTCACCGACCCCAAGTACTTCCGCGACTACGGCTGGAGCATGTCCGGTACCATCCCGTCGGTGAACCCCGATCCCAATATTGTAGCTCAACTCAACTTCTGCATCAACCTTCAACGTTCATCGTCCGCCGTGAAGATTGAACTAAGTGTACCAACTTGGGTCTCCGCCATCTTGTTCTTGTTCTCACCCTTCTTGGGCAGTATCAAGATTCAGTTGTACATCAAACTGTTCGTCATGCTACTTCAGGTCATTATACTGCAGTTGTTCAGTAACAGAATCGCACCACATTTGGGCAGTGCTTCGGCTACACCTGTTATCAGTAGGTTTTGGGGACTGTTTCACAAAAAAAATTAAATTTTTTTAAAACCAAATTTTTTGCATGTTTTTTTTATAAAATGGCAAGAACTTTCTTTACAAAACATAAAATGGCAAGAACTTTCTTTACAGAACAAAAAATGGCAAGAACTTTCTTTACAAAACAAAAAATAGCAAAAACTTTCCTTACAAAGCAAAAAATGGCAAGAACTTTCTTTACAAACCAAAAAATTATAAAAATGACGTTTTCAGTGGCCCTACACGAGTTCTGCATGGTAATGAACACTTTGAGTATTGTGGCCAGCATTCTCTTCTTGATGCAAACCAGAATCAGAAGAAACCTCCCACCTTGGGGATGGTTGATCAGGTAATAATCATTATTGTTTTATACACAAAAAGTCATTTTAAAATTTGCATTTACTTAAAAATTTATTTTAAAGATTTTTGAGCGTAATACGGCTTAGGTTTGTTATTGCACCGTGCAGAAATTTTAAAATTCGCCCTGCTTTGAGTTTTACCACGCCCAAGCCAAAAAAGGTTGAAAAATATTTTTTCGCTGTGTTTTATGACATTTTCAATGAACAACAATTTTAAATTTACCTAAAAGTCATTTTAAAACTAACTTTTTTAATTGTTGCACAGTGCAAAGCCTTTATTTTCTCTTTGCACAGTGCAAAGCCTTTTTTCTGTTGCACCGTGCAAAATTAGCGGCTCTTTCTCTTTGTTCTTATTGACTGCACTGTGCATAGCCCTTTTTCTGTTGCACCGTGCAAAACTGAGCAGTTCTTTTCCTTTGATGTTATCGACTGCACAGTGCAATCTTTTAATTTGATTGTACTGTGCAGAAAATTATTTTTTGAAATTTATGCCTATTTTTTCAATTAAATGTGGCATCTTTTAAATCAGAAAGATTTGGAAAGTCTTTTTTGGTTAATTTGTGATAATTTAGGTATTAAAAATTTTAAAAAACCAAAAATTTCAGTTAAAAATTTTAAAAACTTCAAAATTTCAGTGCCTCAAACATAATCAACAAGTTCATCTGTTTCTTCAACCAAACCGCCGAATGGGATTCAGAAGGCGTGGAATTGGAAAAGGGTGGGATCCCCACCTCAGCCACCGCCAATCGCTATCAAGCCGACTGGCACAACGCCTTCTTGGCCTTACATGGAGTAACCACCCTCACCTTCTCAGTGATCTTCATTTTGGGATACCTGGCTATCCGCTAGGTCTAATATTTGTTAGTAATAGTACTAATACTCAATCCGGGCACGTCAATTCTACTTTTGATTTTTTTTTATTTTTGAAATTTTTTAATTTTTTGAAATGTTACAGTAAAAAAAAGTAAAATTTTACTTTTACTATAGAAAAACTAGATGTTTAGGTAACATTTAATTTTTATCATCGATTTGTATTATAGTACTTTAGTGGTACTGTGGTTTCCATCGTAGTACTGTACTTCACATATTACTGTAGATTTTTGAATTTTCAAAAAAATTTTTAAACTTTTTATACTGTAATGTAACTTGTATGTATATAATGAATAAACTTATAAAACTTTATTATTTATATCAGTCATATATTGCTTACAAACACAAAAAAAATAAAAAATCAATAGTAGAGAATAGCACATAATTAAAATCAATAATGGAAAAAAGTACAAAATAAAAAAATCGATAGTAGAAAAATGTCAAAAGACTGACTAAAAATAGCCAAAATGACATTTTGATTTCAATTTTAGACCAAAGTTGAACTCGAAAAGTCATAAAATAAGGTTTAGAAATGTCATGAAACTCGAAAAATGGGTGTAAAAGACCATAAAAAGTCTTGTCGTTTCTAAATTTTACTAAAAATCATTTTAAAATTGACATTTTTATTTGTCTGCACTGTGCAAAGCCTTTTACTTTCTCTTTGCACTGTGCAAAGACCTTTTTGTGCTGCACCGTGAAAAATTGAGCGGCTCTTTTTCTTTGATCTTACTGACTGCACAGTGCAAAGCCTTTTACTTTCTATTTGCACGGTGCAAGGCCCTGCTCCTGTTGCACCGTGCAAAATTCAGCGGCTCAAAAAGAGTGCAAAAATGTACGGCTCTTTTATTTTGAGCTTATTGACTGCACTGTGCAAAATCAAGCGCTTCATTTCCTTTGATCTTACTGACTGCACTGTGCAAGACCCTTTATATGTTGCACCGTGCAAAGCTGCGATTTTTCTATTGCACAGTGCAAAAACAAGCGGCCCGTTTTCTTTGATCTTATTGATTGCACTGTGCAAAGCCCTTAGTTTTGACTGCACCGTGCAAAAATAAGCGACTTGTTTTCTTTGATCTAATCCAATGCACAGTGCATAAAAACGACAAAGCTTTTTATGACAGTCAATATAGTATATCTTTGGTTCAAAAATAAATTTCATTAGAAAAAAATAAAAATGTGTAAGCTATGACATAAAATTTTGTTAAAATTCGCGGTAAATTTCGCAAAAAAAATTTTAAATTTAAAAACTGGGATGAGAAATGTCTATAACCGCCTGAGGTCAAGAATATAGAAAACAGGTATGGATTTGGATATAGATGGTGAATATAGATGTCAAATGTAAAAATTTATCTTACTTTAATAAAAATTGACTTTACTTTTGATTTTGATTGCCTGATGCAAAAAGAATGACGCGTTACTTGAAAAAAATTTTTAAATGCATTTTTGGTACAAAAATGCCATTCCTTTTGCATCAAACAAATAAAACAAAAATTTTTATAAAACTTTAGCTAACTTTTAATTTCGATGCAAAAAGAATGGCGCATTAACTAAAAAGTCCCAAAAATGCGGTTTTTGACACAAAAATGCCATTCTTTTTGCATCAAACAAATACAAAAAGTCGTAAAAAAGATGACAGACACATTATTTACAAGTATGTACAGTTTAAAATGTCACATAAAAATTTTTTTAAAAAATTTTCAAAAATGAAAATTTCAAAAAATTTAAAATTACCACAGTAAGACTGTCATAAAAACCATTTTTTTAAAATTATTTTGTCATTTTTAAATTGACCTTAAGCAGTCTGAGGCATGGGCGGAGGAATGGGTAATAAGCGGAAGAAGTTGGCCACTGTTTGGGCTAGACCCGCCCAAGCCTGAAAAAATCATTAGTATTAGCAAAAATTGCAAGAACTTTCTTTACAAAACCAAAAATGGCAAACACTTTCTTTACAAATCAAAAAATTGCAAGAACTTTCTTTACAAATGCCATTTTCAATCAACTTACATCGTAGAATCTGACCTGAGATTGTAGTACCTCAGCCTGTCTGTTCTCCAGGAGCAATCTTTGTTCGGCCAAGCTCTTCTGAGTCTGATACAGCTCCTTCTTTTGCTTCTGAAGACTGTCCTTGGTCGGTTCATCGTCAGGATGAGTGAAGAATTCGAATGATGGCTCAATGTTCTTTCTTTTCTTGCCCTGAAGACAAATAGTATTAGGTAATAGGCCACTACCTTGTCCTGCCCAAAAAAGTCATGTATAGCCCAGCCCAGTAAAGCCAAGACACGAAGCCCCGCCAAGGCCAGGCCTAATATTGTCAAGCTCAGTCCAGCCTAATAATAATCAAGCCAAAGCAATCCCAGACCAGCCAATCCTAGCCTAGCCATGACAAGCCAAGACGCCCAGCCCAGCCAAGTCTAGCTAAGCCCAGTCCAGCCCAGCCAAGCACAGCCAAGACAAGCCCAGCCAAGCCAAACCCAGGCCAGCCAAGCAGGCCAAGTCAAGCCCAGCTTAGCCCAGCCTACTCAACGTCACCCCAAATATCCTAAAACCTACCCCTTTGCTGTGACTTTTTGGTGATCTGTTAGGAGTGTCAGTGGAATCCGACTTCTTCAACTTCTTTGTCGGTGGAGGAATCTGAAGCTCCAAAACTTCTGAAGTCGGAGCCAGACGTCCCATTTGAGCCACTCTTTCAATCTGAAAACAATTTTTTATTAAACCGCTCTTATCATTTAATTGTAAAGTATCCTACCCTACCCTGCCTTAACCTCTCCTGACTAACCTACCCTACCCTGCCCGATCCTACCGTACCCTACCTACAACACCCTACAAAAGTAGATCAAATCCACCCTTCCCTCAACTCCCAAGACTTTAAAAAACCTACCCCTTTTACCCGTACCTGCCTTACCAGATAGTATATACACTATGCCAATGTGGCGCCAAAAACAAAATTCAAATTTTTGAAGTGCAAATTTTTACCATTTTTTTGCATGCTTATTGAAAATCCTCTATCAATCGTATTTTACAAAATTCCGGCCCATTAAACGTCCTTGAACATTATGCCAACTTGGCGCCAAAATTAAAATTCAAATTTTAAAAATGCAAATTTCTTCCCAATTTTTTGCATGCTTATTACTAGGACTATAAGTGCTTCCCATCCAAAATTTTAAAAAAATCAGTCAATGTAAAAGCTTACCGTATCCATGTAAACATCGATGTTATTGCCCTCCAGCTCTGAGTTCTGAAGCCGTTCTCGAGGCGATTCACTGTGCGATTCGTTGTCATTTTCGATGTTCTCACTTTCTGGTTTTGGGTCCTTTCGCGGCCGCTTCTTGGGACCATTGGTTTTTGATTCTTTTACGTCTGATTTGAAAATGTCATCATGATTGTCAAGTAGGGTTAGTGGTACTTCTTTGTTCGTCAGTAGACGATAGAGCTTGGCTTCGACTGGTGTGAAGCCGGCTGACTTTGATAGAACTTCTTCTTCGGTCGAGCCGTATTTACTGAAAATGACATTTCTAGAGTTTAAAAATGAGTTTTATATAGTTTTTTATCTTTAGGCTTACTATTATCTTATTTAGAAATTTGCAAAATTTGGCGGGAAAAACTCAATTCAAAATTTAAAAGTGCAAAAATTTGTATAATTTTTGTCGTAACTAGACCGTCTTTGTTATTTTTAGACTTAAGAAAATCGTTTTAAAAAAATTTAGCCAAAGAAATCTACCGGCTGGTACATTTTTATATTTTGGCGGGAAAATCAAAATTCAAATTTTAAAAGTGCACAAATGAATAATATTTTTGACATAACTAGACTTTAAACGTTATTTTTAGGCTGAAAGCAACCATTTTAAAGAATTTCAACCAAAGAAAAATTTCCTTTCCACGTTTGTATTATGGCGCCAAAATTCAAATTCAAATTTTAAAATTGCAAAAATTGATATTGTTTTTGACATAACTAGACCTTAAATGTTAGCTTTAAGCTTAGTTTACTTTAACAAAAGGTTAAAAAATTTTCGGCCAATTCGACTGAAGAAACCGACCGAATTGCACGTTTTTTAATTTTGGCGCCAAAATCAAAATTCAAATTTTAAAAGTGCATTCCTTTAAATATATACTGATAAACATAAATATATATACGTTTTCTGAAAAGAGGCCGAAAAACGTATTTTACAAACGTTCAGTCCCATTAAGCCTCCTTGAACACTGCCAATTTGGCACCAAACTTAAAATTCAAATTTTTAAAAACATATCTTTACCAAATTTTTAAAATATATACGAAAACTGCTCAACACGACGTATTTTACAAAAATTCAGTCCCATTAAACCTCCTTGAACAATATGCCGATTTGGCGCCAAAATCAAAATTCAAATTTTAAAAGTGCATATTTCTTCCCAATTTTTTGCATGCGTATTACTAATACTATAAGTGCTCCAAATCTAAAATATAGGCCAAATCGACAAAGCAACTTTTTTAAAATCTAGCCTTAAACATTATATTACACTTACATAGCAGCCGCATTGACCTTTCTCTCGACCCTCTGCCTCAACTTGCCCATATGACTTCGCAGGCTGATCGGCGTGAGCTTCAGATTCAGCTTCTGATGAACGGACTTGCACATCGTGTCGTAGACTTGTTTTTGGAAGAAGGGCGGTTCTTCTTTGCACTTACTCAGGTCTGCCAGGTTCTCTTCGTGCACATTGACTAGCCCCATATACTGCTTGTTACTCAGCTTTGGCATATTGCCTAGTGGTTGTGGGTTGAATTGATTGAATTATAGTTGCTTCTGAAATGGAGATCTCATAGTTTTTGAACAAAAAAAAACAGCTAAACTTCAGTATAACAAAGGGTAGGGTTAGAGGGCAGATTAGTGTAAGGTAGAGTAGAACAGAACAGGACAACTTAGGTTAAGGTAGGGTATAATAGAGCAAAGTAGGGTAGGATAAGGCAAAAACGATCCAAAAGTGGGTATAAACATAAAAAAACAAAAAAAATTTTGGGCGGGGTAAAAAATTTTTGGAGGAGGATCACAAACTTTTTTTTGTAAAATGAAAAAAAGCTCAAAAAATATGGCAAGAACTTTCTTTACGAAACAAAGAATGACAAAAAGTTTCTTTCCAAATAAAAAATGGCAAAAACTTTCTTTCCAAGACGAAAAATAACAAAAACTTTCTTTCCAAATAAAAAAATGGCAAAAACTTTCTTTCCAAAAAAAAAATTGCAAGAACTTTCTTTACAAAACAAAAAATGGCAAAAACTTTCTATACAAAACTTAAAATGGCAAAAACTTTCTATCCCACTCCCAAACACTCTAAAAACCTCACCAAATCTTCAAATATTCATGGTAATATTAACCATTACTTCACACAATCAACTCTTTGATATTATAGTAGTCAGTCAATTTTTATTATCAACATTAATAATTAAAATGCATTGTTATAAAATACAAATATTAAATTTAAAAAAAAATTAAAAAATATCAAAAAGTTTTAAAAACCGAGGTCATACGGAAAACGTTCTATGGACTTTTGGACCAATGTCATTTTTGAGCGTATTTTAGTTAAAAATGTCACTTTTCATTTTGAAATTTGATCAATTTTAAAATTTTTAGTCCAAAATCAAATAATTTTTAAAATTTTTATCAAATTTGGCGCTTTTCAAAAACATGTTTCATCGTATAACATGGCACCCGCAACCTGCAAACCTTAAAAATCGCTAAAAACAGCCGAAAAATTGAAAAATCTGTTTTGAAATGACATTTTTAAATAAAATAAACGTTGAAAAATAATATTGGTCCAAAAATTCATAGAACAATCAAATAACAATCAAAAGACCAAGCCAAATATATAATAATAAGAAATAAAGTTAAATTCTACAAACTTTTTGACCGAAAATTTAAAAAATAAGAGAAAGTGAATGTAAAGAAAGTTTTTGCTGTCAAACTATTTATTTTAAAATTTAAAAAAAGCTCTAATTTTATAATGATTTTTAATTCTTTTGCACGGTGCAATCATAATAAAAAAGACTGCACGGTGCAATCATAAAATGACTGCACAGTGCAATGAATTTACAAAAAGCTTCATAAGTTCTCGGAACTTTGAAATTTTAAAACAAAAACTTGAAATATAACTTAAAATTGCACGATGCATCTTATAAGAAATGGCATGGAAAAAAGTTGTTGCACCGTGTAAACAAAACCCCAAAATTTTTAGAAAAGAGTAATTAAAGTCTAAATATAACGTCAGTAAATAATGAAAAATAAAAAATGTTACCTAAAAATTGTAAAAAATGAAGAAAAAATTGCAAAAACTTTCATTTCAATCGAAAAATATAAAAAAAAACTGTATAACTTTTTAGTTTTCTAGAACTTTATGTACAGTGACAAAACTACAGTAATATGTTGATGCTACTCCGACTAAACCAACAATAAATTAGGGAATTCCATTTGGAAACGTTCATAACCGTAGGAAGCCGCGCAACGATTTCCCGATATCCGTCCAGGTCTAAAAAGGAATGGCATTAGTAATAAAACAAAAAAAAATTTTCTATGAATAGCTTAAAATTATCATGTTTATCATTTTTCTACCTAAACTATTCATTTTTATTCAATTGTTTAGGCAAAACAGCCCAAAAATATATTTCATCGTATAACATGTCAACCGCACCCTGCAGAGTCCATAAAGTTAAAAAATTTTAAAATCGTGTAATAAAATAAAATAAAAACAGTGGTATTGTGGACCCGGTCGTATTTTACAACAAAAAAAAATCAAAAAAGAACTCCCTAACTTTTACCCCGCCCAAAAAAAGTCGTTCTTTTTTTACCCCGCCCACCAAAAATTTTTTTTGTTTTACTTTTTCTAACCCAACAAAACCTTTTTGTTCACTTTTACCCCGCCCACCAAATTTTTTTACCCCGCCCACCAAAATTTTTTTTGTTTTACTTTTTTCTAGCACAACAAAACCTTATTTTGAAATTTTACCCCGCCCCCCAAAATCTTTTTTAAACTTCTACCCCGCCCACCAAAACTTCTCTAACTTCAACACTACCTACCCTATAATACTCTTCCTGTCGTTCCAACAAGCCTAGTTGTTTCCTCACCAGCACTAGACTCTCTTCGGCCAGCGTTCTCTCCGCCACTAACGTTCGCTGCTTCTCCAACGTTAGGATCTCGGCGTCGGTCATGTTCCGCGACCTCTTCTCCTCTGCTTCTGAATGTGCCGTGCCTTGGCGTTTCTGTGGTTTTTTGGGACTTAGCTTCGATTTCTGTAGGCTGTGGGGTACTGTAACTTCGTGTGAGACGTGGAGGGGTGTGGTGATGCCATTATATAATAGGGGGTTTGATAGTGAGTTCGGGATGGAGTTGGACATTGGATTTGACATTGAGTTGGGTATCGATGCCTCGACGTTGATGCCGTTGGGAGGTACGATGATTTGGTAGAAGTCGTTGCCCATCAGATTCTGGTCAGAAGTCAGAGCACGATGACCTGCTAGTCCATCCGCACCACTAGCCGGAATATGGAGGCCTGAGGCCGAGCTGCTGGGTATTTCCTTGGGGGGTGATCGCTCCTGGTACTGGGCGTCGAACAGTTCGGCCTCGGCTTCGGTGAGATCGTGCGGCTTCAGGATCAGGTTGCTGTTGTCCGCCGCTCCGGGCGCCATCCGCCGACAGTCGTCGATCTTGCGGCCCAGTGACCGCGCCACCTCGTCGATCTTGTCCTGCACCTGCGTCGTCGACCATTGGATCTTAAACTCGCGCAGGAGCAGTTCGGCCAGATTTTGGAATAACTGGTCACGCTGACGATCAATGTCTTTGATCTGGATGCTCTGTTCCGTGAAGAGGTGGAGGTGCTCACCGTACGCTCGCATCAGCATCACCAACGCTTCTCGCGGCAGATCGTTGGGGGTGGAGAACTGAAAATGTTTTAGGTAACAAAAAAGAAAAAAATTTTTAGTAAAAACTTTAAAAAATATTAAAAAATTGTAAAATGTTACCTAATTTATCAATCTTCAAAAAAAATAATAAGCTTCTGCTTTAAAAAAAATTTCGCATAACCCTACTCCTAAGCCTAGCTTTACTTATGCCTAAGCCTAGTCAGCCTAAGCCTACTAAACGTAATCCTACTAAACCACAGTCTAACATGCCTAAGCCTAGTAGACACGTTTTTGCACTGTGCAATCTCATAAATTTACTTTTGCACCGTGCAATCAGTTAAAAAAGGCTGCACTGTGCAGACCAAACGATCAAAGGAAAAAGCCGCTTTGCCTTGCACGGTGCAAACGAAAAAAGTAGTTTTCACTGTGCAGTCAGAAAGATCGAAGAAAAAAGACGCTTCACATTGCACGGTGCAAAGAAAAAAGTATTTTGCAATGTGCAAAAACGTAAAAAAATATACTTTGCACAGTGCAAAAGCAAAAAATTAATTAAAAACTCATTTTTTGCATAATCTAAGTATCCTCTATTAAGTCTAAGCCTACTAATCCAATCTACGCCACCTTGGCCAAATATTCCTAAATATTCATCTTGACAAAGACCTATACAAATTTATTTTCAAAAAAAAACTCTTACATCACTCTGAATTCCATTGACCGGTCGATGATCGTCAATGCCATTCGGCACAGGACTTATCCCTTCTCCATCGCCTGATCTGTTATTGTTATCCAAAGCATTCGGACACCCAAAATATCGATAGTAAATCTGTTCGGATGGGGTTAGGTTTAGGACTGTCAGGTCGGCGTCGGCTCTAAAATACGAGTCTTTAAGCCTAAGCCTACTAAGCCTAAGCCTACTAAGCCTAAGCCTACTAAGCCTAAGCTTACTAAGCCTAAGCCTACTAAATCTAAGCCTACTAAGCCTAAGCCTAAGCCTACTAAGCCTAAGCCTACTAAGCCTAAGCCTACTAAGCCTAAGCCTACTAAGCCTAAGCCTACTAAGCCTAAGCCTACTAAGCCTAAGCCTACTAAGCCTAAGCCTACTAAGCCTAAGCCTACTAAGCCTAAGCCTACTAAGCCTAAGCCTAAGCCTACTAAGCCTAAGCCTACTAAGCCTAAGCCTACTAAGCCTAAGCCTACTAAGCCTAAGCCTACTAAGCCTAAGCCTACTAAGCCTAAGCCTACTAAGCCTAAGCCTACTAAGCCTAAGCCTACTAAGCCTACTAAGCCTAAGCCTACTAAGCCTAAGCCTACTAAGCCTAAGCCTACTAAGCCTAAGCCTACTAAGCCTAAGCCTACTAAGCCTAAGCCTACTAAGCCTAAGCCTACTAAGCCTAAGCCTACTAAGCCTAAGCCTACTAAGCCTAAGCCTACTAAGCCTAAGCCTACTAAGCCTAAGCCTACTAAGCCTAAGCCTACTAAGCCTAAGCCTAAGCCTACTAAAATTAAAATGAGAAGATATAACTCACGCTAGGTCCTTGCATCGATTCCTGACCCTCGTTCGTATGTTAGACAACTTCTTCTTTAGCGTTTGCTGGTCGATTTCACTCGGTCCGACGTTGAACTTCTCTCGCAGCTCCAAAACTATGGATTCGAAGCCTTCTGGAGGTAACGAATAGCCCCCTCCTGGGTATTCTGAAAGCATTTACGTGGTAAAATACGACATTTCCCTTATCGTTGTTATAAAACTAGCAGAAAGAGCAAAAACTTCCTTAACAAAACAAAAAATGGCAAGAACTTTCTTTACAAAACATAAAATAGCAAGAACTTTCTTTACAAAACAAAAATGGCAAGAACTTTCTTTACAGAACAAAAAATGACAAAAACTTTCTTTACAAACTAAAAATGGGAAAAACTTTCTTTACAAACTAAAAAATGACAAAAACTTTCTTTACAGTGCACAAAATAACAAAAACTTTCCTTCCACAACCAAAAATTGCAAAAACTTTCTTTCCAGACCCAAAAAATCATTAAAAAATTTAAAAAACTCCCTAACAAAGCGCATTAACTTTCTTTACAAACAAATGCAAATTAAATGCGGCCTCTTTAACATTCCGCCCCCCCCCCTTTCCTCTAACAGTCTGTGACCATGAGCAACCCACCTCTCTTTTTGGCCGAATACATTTCGACCAAGGCGCAGGCCATTTCCTGTGTGAATACCTGGGACCCGCGCCCCTTTCGCACCGACATTTCCTCCGGATTCAGCTTGGACACCACACACGCGCGCGGCCTTCTACAACATCAACATTAATATTACATTGTAAACATGAATATTACATTGGAAACATCAATATGATGAACACCAATGTTAATATTAGGTGGAACCAAAAGTGTCCCGCTACTTTTGGTCCAACCTAATATAATCACCATTACAGCACGGCGCTAAGATTATAACATTAATGTTTGAAACACGGACTTTCATATCAGTTTGTTCAACTTATTCTGAGCCCCCTTCACAAGGCAAATTTTCAAGATTAAAAGACACAGAATTATTTGAACAACTTAATATATCGGCATGGACGCTATTTTTGATCAAATACTATTGTAAATATCTTGACATAGACACAAGCCTAAACTTGAAAATTTTTAAAAATGCTTTTTTGTTACCTAAAGTTAAAAAAATAAGTCAAAATGAAAAAGTAGAAAAAATGCATTATAATTACCTAAAATGCTACGACAATAAAACTTGTTCCGTAAAAATATGAAAAAAATATTTTTGTTACCTAAATTTTCAAAAAAATAATCCATAATGAAAAATTAAAAAAAGTGGATTTTTATTACCTAAAACGCTACAAAAAACTAAATTTGGTACCTAAAAATACGAAAAAAGGTTTTTTTGCCACCTAAACTTTTATAAAAAACATTTTTAATACCCAAAACTCATCTAAAGACAGTTTTTGTTACCTAAATTTCAAAATTTTCAATTTTAATACCTGAAATTAAGATATAAACAGCTTTTGTTATCTAAAATCTTTTTAAATTCCATTTTTACTACCTGAAATTAAAATATAAACTGTTTTTTTACCTAAAGTTTCAAATAACAACTTTTAGTGGTTAAAAATGAACTGTTTTGTTACCTAAATTAATAAAAAATCAATTTTAAAAATTCAAACTCAACTAAAAATTTTTTTTACTATTTAAAAATTTGAAAAATATATTTAACTACTAAACCTAAATATCCAATAAACTTAGTTTTTGGTACCTCAACGATTCCAAAAGTTTATCGTAGTATGTTAAACTCAAAATTGTTTTCTAAAATTTCAAAAAATTTAATTTTTAATGCCCAAAACTCAACAAAAAACATTTTTTGTTACCTAAAATTTAAAAAAAACTCCAATTTTTGTTACCTAAAACTCAAAAAAAATAACGTTTTGTTACCTAAAAAAGTTTAAAAATCAATTTTAAAAACATAAAATATAAATAATAGTACAAGCATTTACTATAACAAAAAGAATAATACAAGCATCAACTATAACACCACAAAACCACAATTTAACCCCACTAATATTCATTTCAACCCCACCAATATTCATATTAAACTCCATTTTAAAACCCTAAAATTCTCATTAAAATTTCAAAAAAAACCCCTCAAACATTGGAAACGCCATAGCCGGCTGGCGGCAAGCCCGATTCGAAATAGCGGGTATTTGTAAAAAAATCGAAAAAATATGGATAAAATCCCGAGAAAGACGCGGCTTGGGAAATAATAAAAAGCATTTCTCTGGTAAAAGCGAAAAAAGCGACCCCAACTGGAAAGACGACCAGGTTTTTGGCGCGCTCTCTTTCCAGCCACAGCCCATCGCTTTTTTCGGCTCGATTTTATGGCGGACTTGAGAGCGCACCCACTCTCGAAGCCGGCTGTGTGTTTGGTCGTGTCGAAAAGGCTTGTTCTCTAACCTGCTTTAATGTCTGGTCGTATCGGGAAGGCTTGTTCTCTGACCGGTCTTAATGTCTAGTCGTTTCACAAAGATTCGTTTTCTAACGTAGCTGTATCTTTGGTTGTATATAGTTTTCTAAACGGGTTTTATGTCTGGTTGTATCGGAAAGACTTGTTCTCTAACCTGGATATGTCTCTGGCTTCTCTTCTAGGCTCGCATCTCTAGATCGACTCAGGTCTTGGGAACGCACCCACTCTCGAAACCGGCTGTGTGTCTGGTCGTGTCGAAAGGGCTTGTTCTCTAACCTAGTTTTATCTCTGGTCGTATCGAAACGGCTTGTTCTCTAACTTGGATTAACGTCTCGTTGTATGTAAAAGGCCTTTTCTCTAATCGCGCGGTGTGTCAGGCCGTTGCACTCTAACCGGTTTGAATGTCTGGTCGTTTCACAAAGACTCGTTCTCTTCTCTCTAAACCCTCTATATCTATAGGTCTAGCGAAGAATAGCAATATATTTTTGGACAAACGTGTTTACTAGGTCTATCGTGAATTTTCTTTTTGCCTCTAGCCGTCTGTATTAATACTGTTCAACATTTGGTGTTTATGTTTATATGTACACACGATGTGCTTCATTAGATGGAACTAGGCATGAATTAAAAATTTTGGTATAAAATTATATTTTAACTAGACATTTCGAAAGACCGGGCTCAATTTTTTGTGGCCTCAGTTTAAATCCTGATCTACTTTTACGTGTAAGATTAAATTTTTCTTATTACTTAACTAGGTTTAAAAGAGGATTGAATAAACCCAACCTGCACTAGGCCTAGCCCAGCCGATGGCTAACCCTTTACAAGCCTAACTCAAACACACCATTTAATCCAACGTGTCGAAGAAAAATTGTTGTTTTGTTATTCAAGTGTTTACTTTATTTATTATAATTGTTTTGTATTTCCATGTTATGCTGTCATTTCTTTCGTACTATTCGCGTTCAGTTTATTTAAACATGTACAATGTTGAAATTGATGGAAGAAGGTCTAAAATACTCATCACCGTGTGCTGATAGAAGTGTACCAGAAGAAAATCCTAATCATACATGTAAAGGAGTCAGGACTAGCAAGCTCGTTTTTTCAGGCTTAGTCCTCATAGATAAGCTGTTTATTTTGTTGTCGGTATTGACGTAGATTTTACAATTAAATCACTATCGTATTTCTTTGTTTCTTTTTTTGTTTTTCTTTCACTACGCGTAACATATTTTGTTTATGTGTTTCTCGTCAACACGGTCAGGTTGTTGTTTTATTTGTGTGTCGCGTAACCGCAAAGTGAAAGTCTCGGCTGCAAAGATTATCTCTCTTTTTGTTTTTTCATCTAGTTTTCTCTTTTTCTTTTTGTCTCTTTCACTCTGTTTATCTACGTTAACATGGCCGTTTTTTCTGTCGGACATCTTCTATACATCGAATGCCATTATCTTTACTTTGAACGCAAAATCTGGCTGTTTCAGCCTTTACCAAACACTCTACCCAACCCTTTTTTTCTTTTACACCCTGTCTAATCCCTCTCCCGAGCCATTGTTTGTCCGCTATGTCTCCACAAACAGCGTTACATCTCTGCACGTCCATGGAACATGGAAGCAAGCCCCCATTCTCTTCTGACACACGCTCGCAACGACAAAACAAAACACACCGCGGTTTTCTACACGAAGAAAAAGCGACAAAAAGAATGCGTTTATTAAAATTAATTTCCCCTAAAGCAACACACAGTCACGAGTCAGTTCGCCTTGATATATGTGTCTGCCTTGAATATGTGTATGTTCCCCTTGAATATGTGGAATGTCGTGTAATTGTAATGAGGCTCCGAATATGTAAAACAGACAGGCCATATATAACACAGAATGACCGCGTTTGAAATGATCTACGGGCTTTGGTGGGTATTATACTAAATTTTGAGGTTGTAAAGTCGAGATTTGCAAATTAGTGCTGGGTGCACTACGGTTGAGGAATTGTACTACATTGGTTTCTCTGCATAGTAAAACAATAGTCTTCGTATACAGTAAACCATCTATAAGCGCAATATTCATTTCAAGTTTAATTTGTGCGTTACTGTCGATCCCCTTAAACATTTAACGTTCCAATCCTTAGAAACGATCTGCTAACATCATGGCGTTCCCTACTCCGGGGTCAATTTTTATATTAGCTAATCAGATTAGGTATACAGTGGTACAAAAGGTAAATTAATATTAATAAAACACTAACGCTTACAGTAAAATCAAATAATGATATTAAATGGCAAATAACAATAAGATACGGTAATATACGGTAAGATATTTTATACAATAACATACAAACAAATTGAAAGAATACCGATTAGTAAAAAATGTAAAATTTTTATTTCAAAAGCCAAGAGTAAAATGAGACAATGCAATTTATAACCGCACAAATTGACCAACATCGATTGAAGTGGGCCAAAAGTTGTCAATAATAACTGAACTAGCCTTCCTACGAAGGGTCACTTGGCCACAACTTGCCAGCGACTGCATAGGTGGGAGGAAACCAGACGGTTGCAATATTATAACGAGCGTACACAGTATGTTTAAAAGTTACAGTACAACCCAGAAATAAACTATTTCTAAAAATTTACAAAATTCAAAAAATTAAAAAAATTGATCAGTAATTACGTTTTTTGGCTGATCGCCAAATTCCGAAGGTCAGTTCGCTAACCAAAACTTTATCCAACGCCAAAACTTTTCAAAACAGTAAACTTTTTTTTGCTTTTTCAAACGTAAAAAAGACCTTCAAAATTTTTTGCGATTTTTTATTACACTTTTTGATATCGATTATGTGATAAATATAACAAACGGACAGGCTAGAAAAAAGTTTTGATAAGACGAAAAGCTCTTAACGTTTGATCGTAAGACAAAAAAAGGGCTGGAGGGCATTTGAATTCAAATAGGAGAATGGTTGCTGTAACTCATGAAATCAGGAGTATACTGTAATATCAAATCTGGTAGGAAATTATACTGTATTAAGTTGCTCACATGTAGGTCTACAAAGGGGTTAGGTTGTACAATGAACATCTAGTATAAAGTACTATTAGGTTATTCAGATAATTCTGTGCCTCCTCTCAAAGCATAGTTTTTAGTTTAAGTTAGGAGTCATAGAATTATATGAACAACCTAATATAATAGTAATTTACTGGATATTCATAGTATAACAAGCTGATGTAGACCAATAGGTAGAGGTCAAGATGACCATACTCGCAGTAATTTGTTGGGTCGTTTTATATCGAGGCAAATATTACAAAAGTAAATGATATTACATAAGAAAACGTTGCGTAACACGATTTCTTGCAATTTACCTAAGGCTAGAGCTTTATATCATAAGATATGTCATGTTATATCAATATTAGGTAAGTCCAAGGAAATTTTTTGCTTAAAGATACCCTAAACTACACTACCGGACCCTACCCTATCCTACCCTGCTCTTCCCTACCCTGCCCTGCAATGCCCTGCCCTGCCTTGCCCTGCCCTGTCCTGCCCTGCCCTGCTCTGCCCTGCCCTGCCCTGCCCTGCCCTGCCCTGCCCTGCCCTACCCTACCCTACCCTATCCTACCCTACCCTACCCTACCCTACCCTACCCTACCCTACCCTACCCTACCCTACCCTACCCTACCCTACTCTACTCTACCCTACCTTACCCTACCCTACCTTACCCTACGCTACCCAATCTTTCCCTGACCTGCCCTACCCTACCTTACCCTACGCTACCCTATTTTTCCTTGGCCTACCCTACCTTATTCTACTCCCTAATATACCATGCCCTATCATTCTCTACCTAATGTTTTTCTACGCCACCCTGCCACACCCAATCATTCTTTGCTCTACTCTACTTTATTCTAGCCCACCTTACCCAAACTTACCCTACCTATCAATACCCTCCCCTACCCCCATTAACCTTCCTACCATAATATAAGTTTATTTTCGATAGAAAACATATAATCACAGTATGAAAATAACTTCACCGTCACAGTAAAAAGAGCTAGGTATTTCTTCTAACAACTTTTAAGTATGTACAAGACTTGAAAATACATGTTGTAATAGACAACACTGTTACTCGTATGTAACAAAAAGACCGATATATTTGCATAAATACACTTGACGAAAGGCACATTCGACTGATACGATATGATTGGATACTTGAGATATTATACAATACCAAGGTATAATATGGAAGGTAAATGCAGGAGACTAAATATTAGCGGACATTGTGGTATGTTTTAGTACGTCTATCGTAATGTAAATAGTACTGCAACTCCTTATTCAACTTCAGCCGACTTCAATGGTGTCAGTTCTTGAATTGGGCCTGGCTTGAGCGACATATTACTGCTCTTACAGTGTTTTCGAGTCTAAAAATGCGAATTATAAATTTTCATATGCCTAGCCTTAATCTAAACCATAACACAGAACGCGAGCCTAAAGCCTGGGATTGAGCTTGAGCCTAAGCCCGAGCTTGGGTTTCAGCCTAAGCTTGGAGCTAAACTAGAGCCTGAGCTGCAGCATGAACTTGAGCTTAAGCCTAAGCCTTCGGTTGAGCTTCAGTCTAAACTTTGGGTTGAGCTTGAGCATAAGCCTAAGCTAAAGCCTAAGCCTAAGCCTAAGCCTAAGTCTAAGCCTAAGCCTAAGCCTAAGTCTAAGCCTAAGCCTAAGTTTGAGTTGGCACTTGAGTCTGAGCTTAGGCTTAAGTTGGGTCTGAGCCTAAGATTATATATATATATCCATGATAACATACCTTGATCAAATAAACACAGTAAGTAGCGAATCCAAATGTCACAAACAAAACGCTCATTATAATCAAAAATCCGAAAGTTCTTGGATCCGGGAACACAATCACAATGATATCCTTCAGCACACTAAACAACTGGCACATGGCGTTCTGTACCCCAAATACAGTACCCCTCTCTTCTTCTGGAATGTTCTCCTGCATCAACTGAGTAATACACAAGTCAGCCATCCACAAGCCAAGCCTAGCCAGTGTTAGGCCTGATAAGAACACCGTGACTGATATGATTGAATTTCCATGAATTGTGAATTTCGACCAGTCGATATCGGCCGACGAATGAAGTGTGGGTAGGGTTGGGATGACTGAGATGTTCTGGCCGATTTGCTGAATTGGAGCATCTGGAGGGTTGGCAGCAAATGCATCGACGAATTGTTCCCACCATTTCTGTAAAATACGAATAATAAATCAAAAAATTCAAAAACGCAGTTTATAGCTTTGTAAAGAAAGTTGTTGCCATTTTTGGTTTTGTAAACAAAGTTATTGCCATTTTTTGTTTTGTAAAGAAAGTTCTCTCCAAAACTCAAAAATCCTCAAACATGCCATTTTAAGTCACTGTAAACAAAGTTATTGCCATTTTTTTAATCGTAATTTTCTCAAAAAATCTGTAAAGAAAGTTCTTTCCAAAACTCAAAAATGCTTAAAAATGCCATTTTAGATCACTGTAAACAAATTTATTGCAAAAAAATTAATTCCGCACCGTGCAGCGCCATTTTTCTTCTTTGCACAGTGCGAAAGCGCGGTCCCGTCCGATCTGGCAAGTTAAGCAACCGTGCGCTTGATTACAAAAAGTTCGAAGAACACTGGGTGAAAACAAAGTTTTTGGGGTTTTTATGGTATTGGAAAAAAAGTTTTTGCATGTTTTTAGATTTATGTTGATAAAAAACGGCATTTTAAACTACTTTTAGCCGTTGAACTCGGAAATTTGGTTTTTTTGAGAAAGTTTTTGGGGTTTTGAGAGTGCTTGCAAGAATTTTTTGAATGTTTAACTAAGATAGTATTAACAATGGCATTTTAATTTTGTAAAGAAAGTTTTTGCCATTTTTTACCTTGTAAAGAAAGTTTTAACCATTTTTTTGAAAAAAGCATTTTTAGGCACGTAAGAAAGCCATTTGACTTACTTCTAGTGTGATTTCATTTTTGTAGGCTTCAGGATCAAATGGACTTCCAGGTAGAGCAATTGATACTACACAGAGCCATAAGAATAATTGTTGGAGCTGAAAATATTTTTTAAATGAAGACTTAGAGAAGCAGCTTTCGTATTTTACATTTTTTTTAATTTCAAAAATTTTTTTTTTCAAATCTAAAATTTCAACCTACCATCAGCCCAATAACACCAGTCCTTCTAACCCCAATCATTCGTTCAGTAAACGTATAAGTAAAAGCACCAGCTATACCAAGTACACTACCAGCTGATCTAAACCAGCCAATCACGTCGTCTGGCAAATTTTGGCTTTTAGCATGACTAATAGCCAAACCATCAAAGCCTAGAACAGTCATGTACAACATGGCCAAACCAAACGCTGCTGGACAAACGGATTGACGCCAGTATGCGCGTACCATCTTACACAGACGTTTATGGACTGGTAAACGTTCAGTGTGTGTTAGGATGTCAATTTCTTTTTCTATTGTTTCATCTGGAACATGATGTATATAATTAGAGTAGGAGGTTTATTTTATTTTGCACCGTGAAGTCAATAAGATAAAAAAAAAGCGCCGCTATTTTGCACAGTGCAACCGAAAAAGTGCTATGCGCTGTGCAGCCAAAAAAGGTCAAAGAAAAATGGCCGCAATTTTGCACAGTGCAATTTTATAAGTCGCTTTTGCACTGTGCAATGACAAAATAATTTCCTGCGCTGTGCGGATAAATAAAAGAAAAAGCGCGACAATTTTGCGCTGTGCAGTCCGAAAAACAACTTTTGCACCGTGCAATCAAAAAGATCAATGAAGGGAACCGCTTGAATTTGCACTGTGCGGTCCGAAAAATAACGTTTGCACCGTGCAATCAAAAAGATCAAAGAAAATAGCGGCTTGAATTTGCACTGTGCGGTCCGAAAAATAACGTTTGCACCGTGCAGTCAAAAAATCAAAGAGAAGTCGCCGCTATTTTGCACCGTGCAAATGAAAAAGAAGTTTACACTGTGCAAAAACAAAAAAAATCTTTTGAAAATTAGTTTCAGGCCTATTTTCAATACTTTCGTTTGAAAACGTCCCAAAAAACTAAAATTTTCTTTAATATACTATTAAAACCAAAAATTTAGAAAAATAATATACATACCTCTAACCTTCTCCCGAACATGCAATTCCAGCACTTCATTGTAAACTTTGGCCAGCAAAGCCCTCTCGACGATCCAAAACAACAAATTGCAAGCGACAAAGAACAAGCAAGCCCCCTTGTAACCCATAAAAGTCAATGAATATCCAGTGACAATCGGAGCGACAACACTGCTCATCTGGTCAATTACGGTCATTGTCGCGTTTCTGGCCGAAAGTTGTGATTGGTCCTCTTTCTTGGTTAGTACCACTATCCAATCTTTTGTAAACGAGAACTTCTCGGCTTCTGATGCACATTTGGATAGTGCGCAAAAGAAAATCGACAAAGTTATGCAGGAAAAGTACAGTATGCATGAAGAGCCACCGTAAGATGAAAGACATACTAGTAGCATGAAGGCTGATACAGCTACGCTTATGTTGTTCACGGCTAGTACTGTGAGAGTACCTGAAAAAAAGGTATTTTAAAAAAACCAAATAATTTTTTTAAAAACGCAAAAACTTTCTTTACAAAGCAAAACACTGCAAAAAATTGGTTTTTTCTACCTAAAAATTGCTTAAAATGCCATTTTTAGCACCGTAAAACTAAAAAATGACAAAAACTATCTTTCCAGTATCATAAAAATCCCAAAAACTTTGTTTCCACCCAGTGTTCCTCAAACTTTTTATTATCAAGCGCACCGTTGCTTAACTTGCCAGATCGGACAGGATCGCACTTTCGCACTGTGCAAAGAGTACAAATAGCGTTGCACAGTGCAGAAATTAATTTTTTGGCAATAACTTTGTTTACAATGATAGAAAAGGGCATTTTTGAAAATTTTTATGATTTGGAAGAAACTTTCTTTACAAAAACTAATCAGTACCAGAAAATGTTCGTATTTCACCTACCATGTCTCCGATCCCGACGATCCATCCAATTGCCAATATAGGTACTCAACAACATTGCTGATATGGCTTCAATAAACTGATTTATAGACACTAATCGCATCCCTCCCAAACGTTCCAATATAAAAACAATGGCAAACGTCCATAGACGATCACCAACGCATGAGATGCCATAACCACAATATAATAGAAGGAAGGAACGGGAAATTCTGGAATTTTGAAGTTTATAAACAAAAGTGAAATTTTATAATGAAAAATTGAATTTACTGTTGAAAATTTTCATTATTTTTGCTTTTTTATAAAAATTTGAAAATTTTTATTTAGAGGAATAAATTTCCTCATGTTAGAAAAATAATCATATCTTTTGACCGGTCAAGTTTATAAACATAAAACTATGGTGGTTTATGCCCAATACTATAAAGCACATAACTGAAAAGTTTAAATTTAAAACCTTTAAAAATACGCCCTTAGGAAATTTTTAAACCTTCAAAAATTTCAAAAAACTGAAAAAAATAAAACAAGCATAACTTTCGACCGGTCGACTCTAAAAACGTAAAATTTATAACTTATTCTCAATACTATACAGCACATAATTCCAAAGTTTTATTTTGTTATCTTCAAAATTATGCCCTCAGAAAACTTTTAGACTTCCGAAATTCTAAAAAAATCGAAATAAAGTCACAAATTCTAAAAAAATAATGATAGTTTTTGACTGGTCATCATAAAAACGTACATTTGTAGAATTTTATACCTAGTAGTATACAGCATAAATCCACAAAGTTTCAATTTTTTATCTTTAAATTTTTTCCCTCCGAAAATTTTTAAACTTTTGAAAAAAACAGACATTTGTGTAACTCTGACAAAAATAACCATAACTTTCGACCGGTCAATCGTACAAACTTGCAATTACAGTATTTTATGCTCTGTACTATACAGTACATAATTGCAAAGTTTCATTTTGTTACCTTCAAATTTGTGCCCTCAGAAAATTTTCAAACTCTATTAAAAATTCAAAAAATTTAAAATTTTAGTATAGCTTTTACAAAAACTGACATAATTTTCGACCGGTAGATACTAAAGCCAATTAATTCAAGCATAATTTGCCCACTGCTATACAGCACACAACCTCAATGTTTCAATTTGTCATCTCCAAAATGACGCCCTCAGGAAATTTTTAAATACCAAATTTTTAAACTTTTTTAATGACAAATAGAATATATCAAAATTTATCCTTACCCACTGCTTTTCTCGGCCATGTCGAAGAACCAGTCGGTGAGACCGTACGAGCAGCAACACTGGCTTGATTTGTGTTCACGCAGATCCGTGTCCAGAGACGAGAACGAGGAACAATCGGATGAATCCGAATCCGCGCGTTTCCTCGCTTTTTCTGTGTTTGAAGACTGTCTGCAGCGACGCCGGAGGAAATTTGAAAGTGCCCTAAATTATTAAGGTATTATTACATAATTTTAATATAATAAATAAATTTTTTGAATTTTAATATATTTTTTAATTCTATTTTGCATATTAAATCTAAACATAAATATCTTAAGCAAAAGTCCATGACCTGAGAAATACATTTTAAGCCCAAGCAAGCCAAAACCCATGATTGAGCCTAAGCCTTGCTCTTAGCTTCAGCCTAAGATTAAGTCTCAGCCTAAGAACAAGAATAAGCAGAAGCGTAACCTTAACCCACAGACGTATGCCCAAGTCTAAACCTTAGGTTAAGCCTGAGCCTATATCTAAGCATCAGCTTAAGCCAAGGCTTAAGCTCAAGCCCAATCCCAAGCATAACCCCAATCCTCAGCAAGAGCCTAAGTCCAAGACTAAGCCTAAACCAAAACCTAAGCCTAAGCCTAAGCCTACGCCTAAGCCTAAGCCTAAGCCTAAGCCTAAGCCTAAGCCTGAGCCTAAAACTTAACCTAAGCCTAAGCCAAAGCCTAAGCCTCAGCGTAAACCTAAACTTCAGGCTAAGCTAAAAACCTAAGCCTAAACCTAACCAAGCCAAAGGCCATAAGTTTAAGCTTAAGCCTAAGGCAAAGTCTAAGTCTAATTGTAGGCTTAAACGTAAGCCTAAACTTAAGCTTAAGCCTAAGCCAAAGTCTAAAAATTATTGGCCTAAGCCTGATCTTAAAACCAAGCCTAAGCCTACGTGTGACCTTAAGCCCAAGCCCAAAGTTATGCCCAGATATAATTCTAACACATGGCTAAATAAACCTATTAAATTTCAAATTTAATTTTAAAAGTCTACAGTTTGTCATCAAGAAAGCAATGTTAATAGTCCCATGGTAACCTTTGTTACACGTCCCCAACAAACCTCACAAAAATTTTGTCACACAACACAAAAACCTTAAGCTTGTGAAAATTTTTTGATAAAAAAAGTGCAAAAAGACCAAAAAATACGTTAATAATGAGTAATACCACCACTTTTTCACAAAACCACATAAAGATGGATGTTATGAAAGCTATTGTCTGATACCCTTTTTCCATTTTTTATGAATTGTCAATCAAAAAAGTTTTTAAATCACAATGATCATGACCTTTGCAGTTATTTTGATCCAAAAATAAGTTTTTCAATTTCCATTTCGAATTTTGGAAGTTTAAAAAACAACTTTGCAATAAGCTTAAGTCTGCAAAGCTTAAAGATAAACATGAGACTAACTTTACGGCAAAAAACCAAATCCTGATAAGCCTAAACCCAAATTAAAACCAAATCCTACAATCAGGCCAAAGCCTAAGCCTAAGCCTCAACCTAAGCGTAAGCCTATATTCATACCAAATCCTAAAGTTAACCTTAAACCTACGATTACGAAGTCCAAAATTTTCTACTCAAAATTACCATATAAAGATACAAAGATATTTGTATTTACACGCATTCCCCCCCCCCTCTCCTAATTCACCTAAAACAGGCTTGCAACTCTTATGCGGAGGGAAACGGAAGCAAAAATAAAAGTCCACAAATCCACCAAAACTTTTCGACTTTTCGTACTTTTTGACTAAAGACAACTTTGTAAAGCGTATAAACTTCTGCGTGATGTAAACATCAATTCTAAAACGATTAAGTCTAAAAATATGCGTAACATTTATACTAAAATTAAGTTAGTACAAACCTACCCAGAGCTTAAGCCTAAGCCTAATCATAAGCCTAAATTTAAGCCTAAGCCTAAGCTTAAGTCTAAGCCTAAGCCTAAGCCTAAGCCTGATCCTAATGCTGAGCCAAAGACTAAGCCTAAGCCTAGGTCTGAGCCTGATCCTAATACTGAGCTAAAGACTAAACCTAATTTTAAGCTTAATCCTCAGCCTAAACCTTAGTCTAAGGCGAAGTGTATGCTTAAAGATAAGACCGAAGCTAACTCTACTAAACTTACGCCTAAGCCTACTAAGCCTAAGAATGAGCATGAGCCTAAACCTAAGCCTATTGGAACCTAAACCTACAATCTTGAGCCCAGGTCCACACCATCTAAGCCTTAAGCCTACTAAACCTAACTCTAAAATTACTAAGCCTTCTAAGCCTAAGCAAACTAAGCCTGAGCCAATGAAGCCCAAGCCTAATAAGCCTAATCCTACTAAGCTTAAGCCTAATAAGCCTAAGCCGACTAAGCATAAGCCTACTAAAGCTAAAGCTACTAAGCCTAAGCATTTGCACGACATCAATTATCGTAGCAATTAAAAAAAATTTCAAACGCACTAATAGTAAAATTAAAAAAAAATAATCAAAGTAATTCCCAAGATTGGTTTCGCATTCTGCACGTAGGCACATTGTTGACAAGGCAACGCCGTACAAGACATCAAATTTTGTAGCAGACCTATTTTTGGAGCTTAAAACAAAGAGGCATTTTACACACGTCAACAAGATTTCTAAACCAAATTAGAAAATGGTGTGTTTTAATGAGAAGAAATGGCAATAACTTTGTTTACAAAGCTTGAAATAACCAGAACTTTCTTTACAAAGTGCAAAATGACATTATTTGTATTATTGGCAAGATGAAATTAAAGTATTGCAGAAACATTATTTACAGTACCTTAAAACCCCAAAAACTTTGTTCCTACGCAGTGTTCTTCGAACTTTTTATAATCAAGCGCACCGTTGCTTAACTTGCCAGATCGAACGGGATCGCGCTTTCGCACTGTGCAAACAAGACAAGTAGCGCCGCACAGTGCAAGAATGGATTTTTTGGCAATAATTTTGTTTACAAATATGCAAAATGACAATTTTTAAAATTTTTGGGTTTTGGAAGGAACTTTCTTTGCAAGTTTGCAAAAAAAGAACAAATTGGTGAAAAGGTGCCTTACAAATAAATGCAAGAACTTTCCTTACAAATTAAAAAATAAGGAAAAATTTTTTTACAAAACAAAAAATGACAAAAAATTTCTTTACACACCAAAAAATGGCAAGAACTTTCTTGACAAGCCAAAAAATGGCAAGAACTTTCTTTACAAAACAAAAAAAACCTAATTTGTACAAAAAATGTATAAAAAACAGTCTTAGACCATAAAAAATTTAAAAATCCAAATTTAAAACAGAAAACTTACATTTTAAAGCACTTTTACAACCGGCTGTCAATTCAGTTAACACTATTTTTGTGTTTTAATATCACGTAATGTTTGTTACACCAACAGCAGCACACCGGCTTAAAACCCTTGTGTTTATGGCCAGAAATGTGGCCAGAAATAGGGGAAAAAGTCAAAGAAAAATGGGGAAAATCTCTATGGCTATTAACGATATTATACAAGAAGAGGAAACCCGCTTTTTCGCAAAATTATGCTAATTCGAATCTGGAAATAAATAGAACGGTTAGGAACGTTAAAATACAGATATTAAAGTATTATATACAACCGCGATAACTTTCTTTACAGAACATAATAAATCAAAAAATTTAGTCAAACCGCAATAAATGCCATTCTTTATATGCAATAAACCAAAAAAAGTAAAAAAATTCTTTCGAGTACCGTAAAACCCCAAAAACTTTGTTTCCACCCAGTGTTCCTCGAACTATTTATAATCAAGCGCACCGTTGCTTAACTTGTCAGACCAGACAAGATCGCGCTTTCGCACTGGGCAAAGAAGGCAAATAGCGTTGCACGGTGCAGAAATTGATTTTTTTTTGCAATAACTTTATTTACAATGACTTAAAATGGAGTTTTTAGGAATTTTTGGACTTTGGAAAGAACTTTCTTTACAAATTTTTGAAAATTGCAGAAACTTTCTTAACAAAATAAGAAATAGCAAAAACTTTCTTTACAAATCTGAAACTTTAACTTTTTTTAAAAAAATAAGCTAATTTTAGAAGAATATTAAATTTTGTGGCATTCCAGGTCAAAAACCTTAATAAGCTATAGCGTTTTTCTTAACAAAAATGACGCTTTTCTTAATAAAAATGGCATTTTTCCACCAAAACCCTCGACTTTCTTGAAATTTCGGAAAAATTCACGAAAGAACACCCGTTAATCCCCCGCAAAGGTTTTTGGTTTCAAAAAATATAATACATCCTTCCTTCCCTGACCTAATCTCCACCTTTTGCCCTCCGCAACAGACTTTTATTCGAAAAGCCCCTGGAAGACGAATAAGTTCAAAAAGATCGGCGAAACTTGCGGATTCTCACGTAATTTTCTATCTGTTAGCCATCTGGTCGATTTTTGTGTTTTGCAAATTAAAAAACGGCGATGATTCCTTGTTTTTCGTATTTGAAAAAGCGATTTTTTCATATTTTTTCGTATTTGAAAAAGTTTTTTATTTTGCTTGGAGGAAGAAGTGGTCACGGCTTGTAATTATGATTCTACTGCTTGATTTTTTAGAATAGCGGAGGGTTTTTACGTAAAAAATGTCTTAGAAAAACGTTAAAGGCAAAACCGTTCCTTTATGAATAAGCCTCATAGGTCAATAGAAACGTCGGATGTGCAGTCAGGGGAATAAAATGGGCAACGAGATCCCTTTTACGTCAGAAAAATTTTATTTGTAAGCTTAGGCCTAAACAGAAAGCCAAGCTCACTAAGCCTAAAGCTACCAAGCCTGAGCCTAAGCCCAAGGCTACTAAGCCTAAGCCTACTAAGCCTAAGCCCACTAAGCCTAAGCCTACTAAGACTAAGCCTACTAAGCATAAGCCTAATATGCCTAAGCTTACAAGCCTAAGCTTATCAACAGATGTCTATTACGTCTAAGCCCACTAGGCCTACCCGTACTACTCCCCAGTCTAATAAGCTCAAGCATTTTAAGCCTAAGCATACTATTTAATACAGCCTAAACATACTAAATTTGAGC